AAACTGGGAAAGGAGCGCCCAAGGGAGGCGTGGCTAAAGTTTGGTCTTAGTCTAAATCTGAGCAGGAGGACTTTGATTACCCAATCAGTGGATGCTACAACTTCATGCTGAGAAAAGGCGTTCAGGTAAGACAACGCCCCGTTCCAATAGTAACTAAGTAGAGCTAAACTGGGAACTGAGCTTTGTCTTAACAGTTGTTTTAGAATAATAATTTGAATGATAGCGACTTGGCCCCTGCCTAAAAATATATAAAGAAAGCCAGCCAAAATACTAGGGATGATATTTACAAGGATTTTACCTGCCGGCATCCCATATGTCTTTCACAACCCTTCAGAAAGTTTTGGACTAAACTTCCATAGTTCTTGATAAAAAATATCAGACATATTTCCAGTTGCTGGTAGGATCTTCATAAATGATATAGATGAGAGAATAGAAGAGAACTCTTAAATTTGAGGACACCAAGCTGGCAGAAGATAGGCACAAGATCCAAAAGGATCTCAACAGACTTGAACACTGGGCCCTTTCTAACAAAATGAAATTCAGTGGAGAGAAAAGTAAGGTTTTATACTTAGGCAATAAAAACCAAATATACAGATAGAGAATAAATCAGTGATAGCGAACCTTTTAGAGACCGAGTGCCCAAAACCCACCCCCCCGTGCCCACTCCTCCCTGCCCGCTGGGCCACCCACCGCCTCCATGGCCACCACAGATCACCCAAGCAGCCCAGCAGCGCCATGGTGGCCACGCCCTCCGCCCGTGCCCTATAGCATCATCTCTGCACGATAGGGCGCAAGGGCAGAGTCTGCTACCCAGTTACTATGTCCCTGGCTGCGCTACTTAGTGTGGGCCGAGCCCAGGGGTGACTCTCCTCTGGGGGGACTGCTGGTGAGGAGGGGGCCATGGGAGGAGGTGGGGCTGGGGCAACAGCGCGCGTGCCCATAGAGAGGGCTCTGAGTGTTGCCTCTGGCACGTGTGCCATAGGTTCTCCAGCACTGGAATAGATAAAACCTGACTGAGGTGAAACCTGCTAGCAAAGTCTTGGAGTCCTAGTGAACAATCACTTAAATATGAACCAGCAAGTACTACAATTGCCAAAAACCAATGCAACCCTAGGCTGCATTAAGGATAGACAGATAGAATCAAGATCATGTGAAGTGTTAATACCACCTTATAATGCTTTGGTGAGAGCACACTTGGAATAAAAGATGTTGAGACCCTGGAAAGCAACAAAGATGATTATGGGGCTAGAAGCTAAAATAAGAAAAATGGTTGCAGGAATTGGGTATGTCTGGTTTAATGAAAAGAAGGACTAGGGGTGACATGATAGCAGCGTTCTAATATTTGAGGGGCTGCCAGAAAAAAGAGAGGGTCAATCAATTTTCCAAAGCACCAGAAGGCAAGATAAGAAGCAATGGGTGAAAACTAATCAAGAAGAGGAGCAAACTAGAACGAAGGAGAAATTTCCTGACAAAACAAATAACCAGTGGAACTTTTTGCTTTTAGAAGTTGTGGGTGATTCATCACTGGAGGTTTTTAAGAAGAGATTGGACCATCATTTGTTTGAAATGGTATAAATCAGGGGTAGGCAACCTTGGCTCTTTTATGACTGGTGGACTTCAGCTGGCTCAGGAATTCTGGGAATTGAAGTCCACCAATCATAAAAGAGCAGCGGTTCTCAACCTTTTCATACGGCGACCCCCAGCCACATGGACGCGCCATGCATGCGCGGCGGCGCCCCCCTGCGTAGCGCGCATGTGCGGCGGTGCCCCCATGCGTGCCCCCATGCGCAGCGCGCATGCGCGGCGGTGCCCCCATGTGCGGCGTGCATGCGTGGCGGCGCCCCCTGAGGGGAAAAAATGGCGGATCGCGTTGTTTGGCGACCCCCGTGAAATGGTCGTTCAACACCAAATGGGGTCGCGACCCATAGGTTGAGAACCGCTGTAAAAGAGCCAAGGTTGCCTACCCCTGGTATAGATAGAGTCTCCTGCTTGAGCAGAGGGTTGGATTAAATGACCTCGAAAGTCCCTTCCAGTTCTGCTATTCTGTTATTTTACACAGCCTTCCTCTCTATGAACTTGCTAGTTGAATGCCCTGGGTTAGCAGCAGTAGAGACCAGATTTCCTCAGTTATCCTTGAGTGTACCTTTTATACACATAAACAGGTGAAACTCTTTGCTGTACAAAGATATGATAGAAAAAACTTTACCTGTCGCCTGGTTGCCTCTCCTGTGGGAGGGAAGAAAACATTTGCTTTAAAACAATGATTGTTGAGTTTGTCTTTTGCCCTTTCCAATGCAGCTTCCTTTCTGCTGATACAATTTATTCCTTGAATATCATAAGCCTATCCAGGGTCACAGGATGCTGAGTTTATGGGTGCCTCTTGTAGCATTCTCCTTGTTTGGAAGTCCAGACAATTGAAATGTTGTTCTCCTTGTGGCTGCTAGCAGACCTCCTGCTTCTGGTGGGTTACTGAAGTGGGAGGAGTTGTGGAAAAGAGGAACTTCTTCCTTTTGCCTCTTCCCTCCTGTGAATGAATGTCTTGCCACAATTGGGTCAGATTCCTCAAGGGTCCGAGATTTGCTTCTCAATGTACCATGAAGGAAGTGAGCGGCGTTCCCATTCCTTTAAAGGTGAGTGTTGAGAATATCTTGATTTGGGGCATTTTTGTGTGAATGACTTTTTTTAAAAAAAATTCAATCTTTAAAAAAAGTTTCTAGCTAATATGCAGATGAAAGAACTTTTTTACGTTCAGCTTGTCTTTAAAAATATTAGGTTATTTTAGCAGCAGTAAATGTTTTTAAAATAAAAAAAAAAGAGTTACGGGTTTGAATTTTCCCTTTGAAGTGGAGGTTGCAATTTTGTTATCCACTTATCCAGAATGAGGCACGTTGAACTCAGTGGGATATCTACATAAAGAACTACATAGGAATATGTGTTTTATAGGATAAGGGATACCATAAATACAATATGGATTAATAACTAAGAGCTATTAAGAGGTAATGTATTTAGCTTTGAACATGATAATTATTTAGGCAATTATTGTAAGTACAGTCTTCAGGTCAGCCTTTCCCAAATGGATGCCTTCTAAATGCATTGCAATTACTGAAGTTAATTAATAAATTATATTGAAGTTATATTGGACTCCCCAAAAAGGGTAGAGATCAGATTTTTTTTTTATGCTGGAGGTGTAAATAATTGAAGACTCATTGACCACATTATATGATCATGTGATCTTTTAATAACTTTTTTGAATTGTGTATAAATGTGTATTTGTAGATTTATGGCAAAATCTTTCAATGTTAATGTGAATGTAATGATGAATTATATATCAAAGCTTTGGAATTTGACTTTTTATAAGGAATTGTAATTGCATCACCTATTGTATTAAGAAAAGGCAATATTTTCTAACAATCAAAGGATGCAGCAATATGTCCCATTGTGTTGGAGACTTTTGGTATCTCACAATAATATCTTATTTTGCTTATATTATAGTATTCAATTCATTGGTAAACCAGTGATTTTTATAATGATGAGTATAAAATACGATTTTTTTTCTTTTCAATTTGTATCTTCAGATTGTATTTTTAATTTTCTTGTAAAATTAAATATTGTTGATTAAGAAAAGTAAAGATACTAAAATTTTAAAAAAGCAGCTGCTAAAGTGGTCACTCAATATTCCCACATCAATTGCTTTGTCTGGAGTAGCCAAAAGCTACATAAATTTCTTTTTTTAACCACTTTAGCAGCTGCTTTTTTTTTTTTAATTAGTTGCAGTTATCCAAGTTACTTTTAAAGGCATGAGCAATAAGGGATGATAGTAGCTCAACACACATAGAAAACAGCAAATTGGAGGAAGACAACTTTGGGAAGCATTTTCTGTTGGTTACCGTTGATTACTATTGTGGTTAAAGAGTTAGGATTAGAAGCCTACAATTTACTCTATCACTGAACCCTGTTTACTTAAATAAATAACATTTAAAATGTTAAAGATTTTAAGAAAATGTTAAGAAAAGAAATAGCATGCTAAGAAGGAAGACAATTCAAGACATACTTTGAGGAAAACTTTGCTGAAAAATTAGGAAAAAAAGATAAAGATAGAGCTGTATTACTGGTTGCTTCCTGTAAAGCAGGGATGTCAGTCTGGCGGCCTGTGGGCCGGATGCATCATGCGTAGGGCACGCCCATCCCAGCTCCACAAAGGCAAAAACCATGATACATCACGATACATCACATGATGTGATTGAGTTTGACCCCTGTACTGTAAAGTATGTCTACAGTATATCATATTGTTATTTGGTAAGGTTTATTTGTACTATGCAGTAAGACAAGGTTTAGCTGTGGTTATTAATCTAAAATTGCATGGAATCACTCAATGCTAAATAATGAGTGAACCATGATGTATAAGCAGTAGCTAAGCCAAATCAAAATTAATTTTGTGTGTTCTGTAAACCCAACCCATATCTTGGATAAAATATCAGAATAACAGAGTTGGAAGGGACCTTGGAGGTTTTCTAGGCTCAGGCAGGAAACCCTATACCCTTTCAGACAAATGATTGTCCAATCTCTTCTTAAAAACTTCTAGTGTTGGAGCGCCCACAACTTCTGGAGGCAGATTGTTCCACTGATTAATTGTTCTAACTATCAGGAAATTTCTCCTTAGTTCTAAGTTGCTTCTCTCCTTGATTAGTTTCCCTCCATTGCATCTTGTCCTGCCTTCAGGTACTTTGGAGAATAGCTTGACTCCCTCTTCTTTGTGGCAACCCCTGAGATATTGGAATACTGCTATCATGTCACTCCTAGTCCTTCTCTTCATTAAAGTAGACATACCCAGTTCCAGCTACCGTTCTTTTTATGTTTTAGCCTCCAGTCCACTGATCATTTTTGTTGCTCTTTCTCTGCATTCTTTCTAGAGTCTCTACATCTTTTTTACATCCTGGTGACCAAAACTGGATACAGTATTGCAAGTGTGGCCTTACCAAGGCATTATAAAGTGGTATTAATACTTTATGTGAACTTGATTCTATCCCTCTGTTAATGCAGCTTAGGATTGTGTTGGCTTTTTGGGCAGTGCAAACCAGCTTCTTGTCCCAGTTGGAGGTGGTTAATAGTACTCCACCTCCTTCCTGTGCACATTTTGTTCCCTCCCTCTCTTTCCTGTTTAGTTTTATTTTAATTCATTTTAAAATTTAAGATTCTTACTTATTGTTTTAATGTTTTATAGTGCATTGTATTCAATGTTTATAAGCTGCTTGGACTTGCCTTTCATGAGAGGGGTGGTATACAAGTTTGATGGATGGATGGATGAATTTGTAAGCCACTCTTGGTTATCAAGAAGTCAAGTGGCCTCAACATTGGATTAAATAAAGTCTGCTGGGTGGAGATATGATTTGTATTTTTACTTGCTGAGTCCAGAAATTCTTTTTTTGCCCTTGTCATTTATGTACTGCCCATACCCAGTGAAGACAGAATGCAGTGCTGAACCTGGATCCAATTTTAAAGGAAGTTTGGCATTTGGTAGACTAGGTGACCTATAAGGGCAGCATAGCATTAATTATATAATATACTGTTGTATTTTTTATCATGAAAGATGGAGAAAATCTTGTTTGTAACATATTCTGGTTAATGCAAATGGTTTGGTTGCATTAAAATCTATATTTTTTCATAAAATAAGTTCCAAAATGATTTAAGGTATGTGTCTTTATATAAATGTACTTCTTAGATGGTGTCATATATTATGAATCCTTTAATAAGAAACAAGGCAACATTTTGTGGACTTTCCAGTTGAGTAGAGTCAGGTCTGGTTGATATTTGGAAAAGCAAAGCTGCAAATTAGATTGGCGAGAAATTAATAGATGAAGGCAACATAAGCTATTTCTATAGCATTATAAAGAAAGTGTTGATTTGACACGGATCAGTTTTCAGATATCCTGTGAGGGTATAAAATTCAGGGGGTGAGCTTGTACCTTTTTTTTTAAAAAAAAAAAATAGAGATGATGAAACACATTCCAAAAATACACCATTCTGTTTCTCAAGTAGCGGTCATCTACCGAGTAAGTTAAATCATTTTTGAATTCTACGTAAATTATAGTACAGTCATTTTGAGTCTTTTCCAGAATTCAGTAGGTGAGTATAATGCTTAATACAGATATCTGTTTGCTCTTTTGCTTTCCTTTTTTGTAAGTAGAGAATTTGACCAGAAATATGCTTGTGCGGGAGGAGAAAATAAAAACAGAGCTTGGCAATATGCAGATTATTCTTGGAACAGATGGAAATGACTTCACGTACATAGTGATGTATAGAAGTGTAATGGTATGTGAGAATGACCTTGAGAGACAAGGAGAAAATACGCTGCCTAGGAAACGATCAGACAAGAAGAAAGAGCCCCCACTTCTTAATGGCTGGAGAGAGAAATTTAGGAAGGACCTGCACTGTTAAAAGTGGTGACAGGATTCTTTCAGATTTGCAAGATTCTGTTAAGGTAGCCTTATAATAAAGTAGAATTAGCTCACTTGGTCTTTGTCAGGCTTACCTGGGAGGGCTGATGAGCAAAAACTGACAATAAATGTTTAAATCTTCTTACATGCTCCATGAACTCACATGAGAAGTACATATTTTTTAAAAAAACTTATATGTTTCTTAACTGGAAATTATCGTCTGTACCTGTAAATAAGAATTTTGATAATCATATATTCAGTAAAAGAAGGACTAGATTTGAAAAGGAAGCAGGTTGTAGCTAAATGGATAGAAAGGCTAAGTGGATAGAAAGAATCTGTCTTTTACAACCTACAGTGTTGAGTAATTCTTTTTAGTATTTTTTTAAATGACTTCTAATATCTTTCAAACCTTTTTGAATATTATTTGGCAGAAGGACAATCCATAGGCAGAAGAAAAGTGAAATAATCACCCAGCTGGTTAAAAATCAAGAACAGGAGGCCAGACGATTAAAAGAAAAGTGCTTAAAAATGAGAAGAGGATTTACAGTATATACTCAGCCTCTCATAAGTAAATTACATCGACATAATAAGGAATAATTCCTTAGCATTTGCAGCCAGAATTAATGAAATCTTGGGTCCATGCGTATCATTAAAATATTCAGGACCATCATTTTTCTAGAACTATTTGTAGGCCAATACTTCTAATGCCTTTATTTGCAAAGTTGTTCTAGCATTTGTAGTCAGTAGCAGAGGAATCCCTACGCAGTGTTGCAATGTATTCCCACTGCTTTCCTAAATGTGTTGTAACTTGCATGTATGCATGAAAGGGGCGGAGCTTGCAGTGTGATGTTGCAACTCTTCTACCTTTCTGAGGAAAGCTTGAGTCCTATGGACACCGCAGTTGTATTACAAAACCATCCTTTTACTAAAGGATTTGATGTATGGGATTTTTAAAAGTTAAAAATACTTCATGGACGGAAGTGTTTCATTGCCTTTTTTTTAAGATGTTTTTTTGACTTCTCAGCCTTATTTACAGCTCTGGGTTTTCCTGGATGTGTCTTGTCAAAGAACTGACTGACCAGGTCTGATTGCATGTTTTGGGGTCCAGAAAAGATAAAGTAAGTGCTGTGAACTTTTGAAATAGCAAATACTTGGCTTTATTAAATATGTTAAAAGTTTATATAGTTGAGCAACATTTGAAACATGACTGTGCTTTCCACTAAGAATGGCCCAGAACCTTTAAATTGGTAGTGAGACATATGACTTCCCTCTTCATTGTACCAAATTGTATTGCAATATTGCAAGCATGTTCCACTAGTATATTTTGGGATGATATTGGCAAACAGATTTGCTGTGTGAGGGAAACTAATATTTCTTTGGTTGCTATGAAGCCTTTATCTCTGTATCTCTGTTGATAATATAGGTTGTAACTGCTGACTCTCAGCTGGAATTCCAGATAATGATCAGATCTAACAAGGGCAGTTTCTTTGTGCCTTAATCCAGATTACATCTGAGATTAACTAGCACAGTGACACTGTTCTAAATTTGAAATGTAGGTAATCAAGCCTTGGTAATTTCTTAAGAGAAGGAGAATTTCTTATCAGGATTAGATAGGAAATGATGTGTCAAAAAAAAAAATTGCTTTTCTTTCTCAGCATCTGGTTTAGCCTTGGGAAATTCCTTGTGTCTGCAGCAAATGTTGTAAAGCTCTGTGAAATTTGATTTAGTTCTGCCTCTAATCTTCAATTTAGTTTTCATTTTATAATTCTACCCCTTTGGCTTTCTTACCTTGGAGATAAATGCACTGCTAGGCTGCATGTTCTACACACATGTGGTTAGCTGTAGAAAGACTTAGTATATGTTTTATTTGACCTTTGTAAATTCTAGAAGATAGAATCTTATTTTTATGGTCAGTCTGATTTAACATTGTTTGCTGAATAAACTAGTTGTTGTTTTATTGTTGTAAATGACAATGTAAAGAAGACATTCTCTAAGGACAAGGAAGTGTATTTTCTAGTTTTGGACAAATTATTCAAAAGCTTGTAATAAAACCAGCTGTTTGGTTTTGGTAAAAATGTCCATTTTTAGTGGTTGGTTTGTTGTTGTTGTTAATTGCGAAGTCGTGTCCGACCCATCGCGACCCCATGGACAACGTTCCTCCAGGTCTTCCTGTCCTCTATCATCTTTTGGAGTCCATTTAAATTCACACCTACTGCTTCAGTGACTCCATCCAGCCATCTCATTCTCTGTCGTCCCCTTCTTCTATTTCCCTCAATCTTTCCCAGCATTAGGCCCTTCTCCAGTGAGTCCTTCCTTCTCATTAGATGGCCAAAGTACTTGAGTTGGTTTATACCTATTCCAAATATAAGAGGATAAGCTATCTAAAAAATAGCAATGAAAGGTAAGTTATTTAACAGTTGTTTTTCTAATTTGCTGATGATCAAATGTAAATGATTCGTTTTTCTTCTGAAGCTTTTTTATATAATATGGTGCCATTAGGCCTAAGGCTAATGAAAATATTTTCTCATTTTTTTAAATCAGAAAGAAAGAAATGAAATAGAAGTTATTTTCATGCCTTTTAATAAATAATTTATTCCCATGCCTTTTAATTAAAAAAAATGCCAAGAAACACAAACACTTAGAACATCAAACCAATTATCTTATTTGTAACCTTTAGGCACAATATGAATATTAAAATTTAGTAACATTGATGATTTGTGACAAACATAATCACTTGTTGTGGATTAATTATTATTACCAAAATGCATATATTATTTACTGTTCCCTATTTCTTTGTAAAAAATAAAGAAATATTTAATATCATGCAAAATATTAAACACTATTATTTTCACTGGAGGAGGATCTACAACGGCAAAAGTGCCTAAGATCTACAAAAGTCATAATGTGGTCTTGATTAGTACTATGTGCATATCAGTAAAAAAGATAAGCCTTTCTGTAACAGGATCTGTATTAATGAAAAACATCAAAACCACTATCACTTATCCCACCCGAAATCAAAGCCTTCCACCCAGGAAACCATGTTATTTATAATTCTAGCATTCGGAGTAACAAAAAAAGAATTTCATCATCCATCCAGTTCTTCTGAACTTAGTTGAACCTTCTAGTTGTATTTCCCTTACATTCAGGATAACACCGGTTTGTGAGTGATTTGGAGTTTCCTTGTTTTGAACATCAATACTTTTGGTTTGTACTAAGATGGGGAACTTCTGATCTGAAGGCTGACCTTGGTCTTCCAGACTTTCTACAATATGAAATCCTTTCTTGGCAGTTGCTGTTTCAATAATAAATAAATAGTGCATAGTCTCTCTTCACTCACATTTCTCTATGAAAAGAAACAGGCAATCAAAGTCTGAGAGGGAGGGAGTATGAATGTGAAGTATGTTTAGGTAAGAAGCTGACAAGATGGAGAATGACTTTGCCCTTGTCTAGTATTAAATCTACCCTCATCTCTTTCTCTTCTTCTTTGTCTTTGTCTTTTACCATTTTACACAATTATATAAAATATACATTGAAAACCACAACTAATGTACATGTTTCACTGGGCTTTTATAACATCTGTCTTGGTTGATCTTCAAAAGGCAGAGAAAATAGGAGTGTGTTGCCCTAAGCTATGAGTACTGGCAGGAGAAGACATATGTGCCTGACATACGTGCCTCTAAAAGATACAATAATAGATATAAAAAGAGCTTTTTGAAACCCTTTTCTTTGATATCTAGTTGAACTATGAATAAATGAAGTTATAAGATACATGGCTAGCAAATTATGAGAATTTTTTTTATATACAAAAACATTCCTCCAACTTCATTATTTTGCAGTGCCTGAATGGATAAAACAGATTTCAGCTGAACCCTGGTAAGATGGAGTTTCTGAGAGTGGGCCCTTCTGTACCCAGGAATTTATTATCTTTGGTCTTGGATGGGGTTGCACATAATCCGGGGTTTTTCTTGGATTCCAGACTTCTGCTCAAAGGTTAAATGGAAACCTTGGCTAGAAGGGCCTTTGCTCAATTTTGTGTTGTGTGCCAGTTATGCCCTTTCCTGGACAGGGAGGCACTTCATTCGATCACTCATGCCTTGGAAGCTTCAGCTGGTGCAAAGTGTGGCTGTGCAAGCTATATTGGCACATGTAATACTTCTGCTCCACAAACTGCATTGGGTGTCGATTTGCTTTTGGTCCAATTCAAGATGTGGCTTCTAAAACCCTACATGGCAAAGAGGCTACCTAAGGAACTAGCTTCGTCCCATCACATCAGCCCATCGCACCTGACCTGTCAGTTAAAGAATTTCGACTGGCTGGGTTTAGGAAGAGAACCTCCTCTGCCCTTGTTCCCACGCTATGGAATATTCTCCCTCAGAAGTGAGGCAGGTCCCCACTCTCCTGGCCTTTTGAAAAGGGGTTGAAACATGGCTCTGCAGCCTTGGGTAGGGAGTCCGAAGAAGCACACAGTTGTGAAGTTGGTCAGTGACATGAAAACTTTCCTTTTGCCTCTGTCAGCAAATTTTTAACAGAGTTAATTATTCTTGCCTCCTTAACAAAGTTTAACTCTTAACATTTTAATCATTTATATAATGTTTTATATTTCAGTGTTTTATTATACATCACCCAGAAGCCCTCTTTGAGGGACATGGGAGGGTTTAGCAGTGTGAAATATAAACAAACAAACTTGAAGGTAATTTGTGTTCAAGTGTGGGAGAAAAGAAAGCTTGGGGGAATTTTGTCTGCATTTGTACTTCAGCTCTGCAACTATTTAAAAGATTCTCTCTCTCTCTCTCTCTCTTTTCTTTTCTTTTCTTTTCTTTTCTTTTCTTTTCTTTTCTTTTCTTTCCCTCTGCTTTCAGTTGGTTTCCAATGTCCTCCCAAAAGTGGTTTTTTTTTATTTTCTGCACTTAATGTTTAGACTTAGTCCATACCTTCAGGAAATATTTAACGGTCAAATCTTCTTTGTACACAATATCATACCGTTTTCACATGTGACACATTCTTGCATTGTTGGTGTATGCCTAAGCATGTTTATTACCAAAGCTGGCTTGGGTTTTGAAAGACTGTCTTAAATATTCTGAAGTTGAATGCTCTAAAGTTTGAGACTAGTCAATTCCTGGAAAAAAAAACTTGCCTAGAAATACATACTGGTATAGAATTGACAGCAGAGAAAAGGTATATTAAATAGGGTCTTATGACCCCAATTGAGCCTGGAATTTTGATCATAAGTCACTGCAATTCTAAGTGGGGTCATGTGTGACTGCATTCAATTTTATGACAGTTTAAGTGATTCATATGGTCATACATCCTAATCCAATTTATCAAATGAGCTTTTTTTCCAGAAAATGGCAAAAAAGAGGAACAAATTGCAATCACATGATCATAAGACACTGCAACTAGTCGTAAATGTGAGCTGGTTGCCAAACACTCAAAATGCAATTATGTAACCATGGGACTGATGAGATAGTCATAATTTCAGGAATGGCTTGTAAGTAATTTTTTTTGTTGTTGTTCATCTTAACTTGGAACAGTGGTTAAACGAGCGACCGTAATCTGCATGAATAAAAGAAACAACCAAGCACAGGTAACCCTCAACTTACAACAGTTCATTTAGTGACCATTCAAAGTTACAACAGCACTGACAAAAGTGACTTATGACCATTTTTCACACGATCGTTGCAACATTCCCATGGTCACCTGATCAAAATTTCAGATGTTTAGCAGCTAATTCATATTTATGATGGTTGTTGTGTCCTGCGGTCATGTGATCATCTTTTGCCACCTTCCGGCAAGCAAAGTCAACCGGGAAGCCATGTTCATTTAACAACCATGCTACTAATTTAACAATTGCAGTGATTCACTTAACAAAAGTGGCAAGAAAAGTTGTAAAATGGGGCAAAAATTCATTTAACAAGTATCTCGTTTAACAACAGAAATTTTGGGCTCATTTGTAGTTATAAGACGAGGATTACCTGTAAGCAAAAATTATGGGGATTGTTAACAACTGATACAGATAAGTTTAGAAAGAATGTACTTAAGGATATTTATCTTTTGGGCTTTGTTTTTACATATAGTAAAATATAACTTTATAACATATAAATAAGCTTAAGTTTTTCTTTCTGTGGTGATTAGTTGTAGGGAAAAAAAATTAGCACGAGGGGGAGGTTTTTCTTGAACTGGTGTGCAAAGGGGGAGAAACTGATTACAATTGTGCTTGAAGAAGCAAGGCGTAATTGTGTACTGCTGTGCCAACGACCAGTTGAGTTTTATTTTGCTATTTAATTAAAAGAAGCTGGGATAGCACTTAACATTTTTATACAATGATGAGATTCATAGTTGAGCAAGGTTGTGTTACACATATAGATGCAATCAGAATTGTCTGTTCTTGTATTTTTTTTTTCTATTTTGGATGGAGAGTGAATGTAGGGATTTTATTTTTAAATCAAAGTTAAGTTATTATTGCAAATGGATTATGAATTAATCTTCCTAAATTGTGGGAAACTGTGGGAAAGAGATCTGGGGAGGATATAAAATAGATTTGAGAGCTGAATGCCTATCCCTGAATTAACCCAAGACTGTGATGATGCCTAGTTTGCCTTTACAATAGATATTGTTGAGTTCATTTCAAACTTCAGCTGTAATTTAACAAGTCTATAGGAACACTTATACCTATTTCTTTGTCAATGATTTACTTTTAGTACTAAATGTGCTGGATGGAATTGGCTATCTAAGGCAGGACATTTTCTACCCAGTGAGAGTAGAATTTATTGAAGAGAACTTAAACAGATCTAGAGCCAAAACTTTATTGGATTTATGTCTTTGTTTTAAGAATCTTTGATGTGTTTTTAGAGAAGAAAAATCTATCCAAGGTAGTTTTAAAAAAGATAATTTATCTAATATAATCCCTTCAGATTATCTGAGGGACCATCTCTTGCCGGTCACATCCACCCAACCCACTGGAGCGGGGAGATAGGAATGTTGTGTCTCCCATCCCTTAAGGAGGTACATCTAGTAGGACCTACTAATAAGGGCCTTCTTCATAGTGGCTCCCTCCCTCTGAAACATTATTGCTCCAGAAATTAGACTGGCTACCACATTGACACTCTTTCATAAGGCACTGAAGATGTGGTTTTGTCAGTGGGCCTGGGGAGCTGTTAAATGATTGATTTGAGTGTGTGTTGTTGCCGACGAGGTGGGTTTTTTTATTTTATTATTATTTTATTTTTACTTTTCATTTTTATTTTTTCTACATTGCGTTTTTATTATCTGTAAGCCATCTAGTTGCTGTGAGCTAATAGGCGGCTATATAAAATATTTAAATAAAATAAATATAACCTTTTAACTTGCATATATTTTGTATTTTATATTTTAAGTTTTATATCATATAGTATGCCTTATTTTAATCATGATGCTTCTGACACGAATAAACAAACATTTATATTCTTTGGGTTAGATCCAAGCTTAGTTATATTTGGAAGAAGAAATGGATTTTGTGTTGATCATGATCCACTAAAACAGGGGTGTCAAACTGCCAGCCCGCAGGCCGGACGCATCATTGGGAAACTACGCCCACCCCATTGCCGGCAATGGCGAAAAAGCTCCAATACATTGTGCGACGTCATGTGATGTCATGAGTTTGACATGTCTGCACTAAAGTGTCTTTCATTTGCACTTACTCTCATCCTGATTCTGGAATATAAATTTTATGTTTGTCAAGCTGAAGATTCTATAGAAATGTAAAATATACCAATTCTCATTATTATTATGCTTGATTATTATGACTTTGAAGTAATATGCAGTATTATCCATATATTGCAAGGTGAAGTTAGTGGATAAAAACTGTGGTCAAAACAAGCTTCTTATAAGCTTAAGATGTGACTCAGAAATTTCAGCCCATGATCTTTACTGTACTGTTTCACATGACAGCACAGACAATTTTGGTGCGGCCTTCTAAGTCCCTGTCTACCACTGATGATAAAAAAAAAATGTAAAGACCTAAAATTCCCATTGTCTAGCTTTGACCCCAGAACTACATTTAAAGTCAAAATAAAACCAGTTTGGGCGACCCAAATCCCCTTTGGCATGGTGACAATCCTAAAGTGGGAGTGGCATGTATCTAAACTGTAAAGGAAATTTCGACTGGTAATGATCCAAAAGCCTGGTATAGTATTACCAATCTCAGCCTTGCTCATTGGTATGTAGTGATTTCACAAGGAATAGATTGCAACATTGCTTTACAGTAAAACTCTGAGCCTTTGACAGTTTTCTGCATTAGATCCAGAGGGGCCGTAATGAAATCGTACTTTTCTCAGTGCTTCTTTAAATAATGTGTGATGTTTCCTAACAGGCCAGGTTCTGTTGTTAGTGTGTAGGTGGTAGAGTGTTCCTGCTGTACTTGGGTTAGGCATGTTGCAATGTAAAAAATCCTTAAGAGGTCTAAATAAAGAGGTTCAGTCTAAATAAAACCTTTTGAACAAAATAAATGACATTGTTTTAGATAGATAGATAGATAGATAGATAGATAGATAGATAGATAGATAGATAGCACATTCCTCTTCCTTATTCTTTTCTTTTTATGTGTCCCGATTTCTAGACATTTATTACAAACATGGGTTTCCAAGTCAGGCTTTTTTCTGTTTTTTTCCAAAGGATTCTCAATACTGGCATATTAACATAAAAAAAACCAGAACATCTCTTAGATTAGATTAGATTAGATTAGATAACATTTATTGTCATTTTTTCCTGTGGTTACAATGGCACATATTAAAAATGAAATTTAGTTGCTTGCTCTCAAAGTGTACACATACATAACATACATTTAAACATCCTATATACAACATATGTATAGACCTACACCCTTATATATAAGTAACATATCAATATTAATCACTGTCCATCTTGAATACATAACGGAAGGAGGAAGTTTTAGAGTTCACAAGGTTAATGAGCCGAGGTGGCGCAGCAGTTAGGGTGCAGTACTGCAGGCCACTTTAGCTGACTGTGTTCAGCAGGTCAGCGGTTCAAATCTCACCGGCTCAAGGTTGACTCAGCCTTCCATCCTTCCGGGGTAGGTAAAATGAGGACCCAGATTGTTGGGGGTAATGTAAATATATATATATACATTGCTTACTGGTGTACACTGCTTAGAGAGTGCTTGCACTTAAAGCGGTATATAAGTCTCATAAATAAATATATAAATAAATATATAAATAAATATATAAATAAATATATAAATAAATAAAACTGTATGGAACAAAGCTGTGACTGAATCTGGATGTTCTGCTTCGGATACCACGGAATCTTCTCTCAGAAGGTAACCAGAAAAACAGGTCATGAAGAGGTGTTGTGTCCCAGACAATCTTTAGGACCCTGATTGTGTCCCAGACAATCTTTAGGACCCTGATCAAGCATTGCTTATATGCTATGTCCTGGATAGAATGGAGGGAACTGCCAATGATCTTTTCAGCTATCCTCACCACTCTCTGCACTGCCTTTCTGTCTGAAGCAGTGATGCTTCTAAACCTGTGATGTTGTATGACAGGATGCTCTCGATCTTAAGGATGAAGTTAAAATGAAAGAGGTTTTTTTATTGCAATGAGTTAAACCATCTCAGAATAGTGGTAATGGGGGGAATAGGGAGTTTATTTTGGTACAACAGAAGCCAAGTATTACGACCAATGTATCATATACAGTAGTTTATATAACACGTTCAAGCCTCAATTCTTCTTTTTTGTTTTCACTTTGGACAGGTTGAATTCTGATTCCTGAGGAAACAGAAGTATCTTCCCTGCCAGTTAACCCTCAATATCCTCATGCAAATCCTTTTCCTCACCCTCTTCCGTCTAAACTGAGGACGTGGATTCCACCACAGCTCAAGCTTTTGCTTTCCAATTTCAGAAGAAGATGGGCTCATTCCGAAAGCCCCGGCCACGTTTCATGAGCTCCCCGGTGCTGAGCGATTTGCCACGATTCCTGGCAGCTCGGCAATCTCTGCAGTTCAGATCTAACTCTGCCTGGAACAGGTGAGAAACATCCTATCAGTGTATATCTGATGTCTTAAGACTTGGATTTAGAGGGGAAAAAGTTGCTTCAGAGTGTGCAGGGACTCTCACATGGCATCTATCAATAGTTCCTTAAAGCAGTGAAGTGTCTTTCAGGGATGGTGTGGTTGTCCTTTGTAGCTGCAGCAGATCCTGGGAAAAGATGCATTTAGTATAAGGAATTGTCCACAGGGATTATGTGTGCACTCAATAAAACATTTTCCCTTTGTACCCAAAGCACTGGAGAGCCCTATTATGTCTTATAATACTTTTCTTCCACCATTACTGGATTTCTCCATGTGTTTGAATTAACAAACTATTTGTGCAATTCTGTGGATATTTCATTAATTGTATATATTTTGTGGGAATAGAACATTTTTCTGCTTTGGTGTGCGAAAGAAAATAGTTTGGATTAAATCTGGTTTAAACTTTTCTCAAAGGCCTCAAGCGAATGAGTGAGTAAACTTGAGTAATTTGTCTGTGTTTGTGAGATAAGATGTTGTGATAATTTAATAATATCCTGGCAGGGATTTTTTCACACTAGAGAGATTTCTGTGCTAGGTGTGTCTAGGTGATTTTAAAATGTGGTTACAAAAAATGTCTTGGAGTATTTATTTCAAGATGATTTGATGGCTGCAGTTAATTCTACTTTTATTGCTTGGTTAACCTGTCATGTTATAATTTAAAGTTCTGCTAAGAAGAAAAAGTTCCAAACATAGTTTGTTGATTCAGATATAGTGGTTATTAAAGTAGTGGTTTAGAGAGAGAAAAGTGAGCTCCCTCAAGGGCATTTGTCATAGTATCAAACAGTGATTCTATGCTGTACAAGTAGTCTTCTACTTATGACTACAATTGGGTCCAGAATCTTAGTCATTAAATGAAATGGTCATTAAGCAAGATGGCATTTCACTCAGTCTTAACTCTCCCAGTTATAGTTGTTAAGTAGCAAGTTGTTATGTGCAAGTTGTTAAGTAGCACGCTGGGGAGAGAGCCTGGGCCTCCCACTACACTGGGAAACCCAGACCCTCTCTCTGTCCTACCATGCCCAGGTCCATTTACTTTTTGCATTCTGCAGCTACTGATTATTGAGGCCACTTGCACCATCCTACAAATGGGCCCCATTCTTTTTTTTTTATTAAAGAGTTTTATAAATTTTACAAAAAATAAGAAACAATACAAAAACAAAAAACAACATATACAAATAAAAAACAAACATTACCCAACAAAACCCCCCTTCCCCCACCCCTACCCAACCCCCCCCTTCCCCCCCCAGGACCTCCCAGAGCAGAATATAGGCTTAATTAAAGAAAAAGTTAAAAAAAATTATAAAAAAAGAATATAAAATAGAAAATATATATATATATAAAGTTAAAAATTATGAAAAAACTATATAATATTTTTTATATCAAATTTAAATTGTATGAATTTAATCCATTTATCCCAAACAGCAAAAAATTTCTCTTGCGTTTGTCCCTTTAAGAAAGCCGAAATCTTTGCCATTTCCGCCAAATGAGACACTTTAAGAAACCATTCCTGCAATGTAGGCAAAGATTCCTTCTTCCAATATTGTCCTACTAACAGCCTCGCAGCTGTTATCAAGTTTAACATCAATATAACCTCCTTTGTGTCACAATCAGTAACTATACCTAACAGAAATAATTGTGGAGTAAATTTTACCCTCCTTTTAAAAATTCTCTGGATATTCCACCATATCTTAATCCAGAATGCTTTTATCTCTCTGCACGACCACCAAATATGATAATAAGTAGCATCCATACAACCACATCTCCAACATTTAGGTTGTAAGTCAGGGTACATAAAAGACATTTTTTGTGGATCAAGGTGCCATCTATAAAACATTTTATAAAAATTCTCCCTTAAGTTCTGTGCTTGTGTAAATTTGACATTTCTCACCCAAATAATTTCCCAGGTGTCCAATGGAACTGGCTCACCAAAATTCTGCGCCTAAATGGGCCCCATTCTTGTGATGGTTCAGAAGGCTCCTTCTACAAATTGCACAGTTTGGAGAAGGGACCTTCCAAATGACCATGAGAATAATGGCCTTTGCTGGCGTTTTTTCCAGATTTGAGATCTGCCCCTCCAGTGCATGCATGGATTTTCCCTCCCCCTATAGAGGGAAGGGGAAAGCCCTTGGTGCACTGGGGGAACAAACCTCAAATTCTCCATTCCCTTTGCTTATCGTTCCCTGCTGGCTTCCCCATTGACTTTCTGGGGAAGCCAACAGAGAAGATTGCAAATTATAATCACATGATGGCAGAACAGTTGAAATATGTTTGTAAATGCAAACATATTACCAAAAGCCCAAAATGCAATAATGTGACTGCAGGGAGGGGGGTTGCCAACCCACTGTAAATGCAGTTATTAAATTATCCTAAATTGAGGACTACCTCTGTGTGAATTATCATGAAATCAGTAACTAGAAACACAGCCTATTTAAATGCCTGAAGTTAATGGTGCAGAGAGCATTTACAAATTGCTGCAGACAGCAGTGATTGATTCTGCTTTCATCTCCCCCTCAAATCCACATGGTCCTAGCTGAGGACTCTGATTGGCTTGAAAGTGGATAGTTTGTACAAATATAATTATATATAACTGTATTAGTGAAAGAACTTATTTTCTTGAATTCTGTTACCTTAGTAAACATTTTTTCATGTTTCATGGGGGGGGGGGGAACCCTGGATTAATTCAGAGACTGTTTCATAATGATTTGGCCATGCAGTCCTACAGAGACAAGTTTTTGCATCTTGTGAAACATACACAACACTTTGTCTGTCTCTTCTTTTTTTTTCTTTTATAAGAAAGTATTCTTTTGCGGTATGCAGTGAAGCACACTGTGTTTAATCTCTGGCCTTTGTGTATGCCTGGAGAAGTCAGAATGCACAACAGCCAAAATTTCCCTAGTGATTTTTGTTTCCAAAGGAGATGATGCAAAAGTCAAGGCAGTGCTCTGAATAAGAGCTGCACAAGGGCAGAAAGAAACAGTGGTGTACTTAATTTTGGCTAGCACCTGCCTGTATTAGTCTCTTGATATCTGTACAATTATATTTCTCTCCACAGCTATGGGCAAAGGAGCCTAATGATCCCATGGGAGGGTGGGGGTGAAATGCAGAAGTCATTTAAGAGCAATTAATCTTCTCCTCTACTCACCAATATATTTACACAGTTCTTGACTGCAGTTTTATTGCTTTGTGTAAATCAGGCTATGACATTCATTATTTATGACTCCCCTAACCTTCTCCTTCTGTTTGGCAGTGTTCAAACAGCAGTGATCAATGTGTTCAAAGGGGGAAGCTTGCAAAACAATGAACTCTACATCCTCAATGAAAATGTCAGGTATGTTGCTTTAACTGAACTGGATTCAACAGCCTTCCTAAGTTGGGGCAAATGTAATGCTGAGAGCTTTGTGCCTTGGCAGTAGCTGGTGCCTTGGATTCCTAATATGCTTCTTTTATTGGCATAGTAAAGGAGAATTGAACCATGGACTCTTTTTATGATGCTAGAGCAGTACAGAAATTCATAAGAAGAAAAAAAAGGTCATATATCAATGATTTCACATGGGAAGCAGGAAAATGAATTTAGGTCCTTCTTCCTCTTGTTACCAGATGATTTCTTGCAGTAGTAGTAGTAGTAGTAGTAGTAGTAGTAGTAGTAGTAGTAGTAGTAGTAGTAGTAGTAGTAATGGATGGTTCAAATCAGAATTTGGCCCGGCTCTTCCTCCAGCAAATTCTTTATATACCACAATCATAGTTAAGAAGTGGCTATCAAAAAGGGTATCTTTTCAAACTTCCTTCTGCCATCATAATATGAAAGGAACTTCAAGATTGGGAAACTGTCACCTGTAAGAATGGCTTATGGTGGTTGGCTGTGTTGTTGTTGATGTGGTAGATACATGTGCTTCATATTTTTAGTGTACAGAGCAATGATGCTATGTGATGGAGCTAGAGATTTTTTTCTCTTGAATTTTTGCAAAAGTTTGAGGGGTTTTCTTTCCCTATCATTGTTCTTCTGCAATAATATATATGTGGTCAGAAAGGAGTAAATTTGCACTTTCTGGGGCAAAGATTTAATTAAGGATGAGAAAGGTTTTATTTGATTTTCTCTACTTTGCTGCTTTGTAAGTTGATATTCTAAAGAAGTGGCATCATAGAAACTGGCCTTGAACAGGGTTTCCTCCTCAGACAGGTTTCTGTCTCTATGCCCCTGCTTTTTCTTTAAAAAAAAAGTTGTGAGGTATTACAACTTTTGCAGTGATGCCTCTACTTCGATGGTTGGTGTTTTTGGAAATGGGATGCAGTAGGTCTGCTCTTCGAAATCTGAATGGAATCTTATTTAGGTACTCAATTTGTGTGTAGGAAAGAGAAGATGTGAAAAAGAATGTGCGTCAGAGAGATCACTATGCAGTAGATGTTAAAATATTGCTAGATTTCAATGTTCAGTTGGGAATATCTTTGTGAGTCCCAGAAGTTTGGATAATGATGAAAACAGGCATGCAATGATCATGCAATGAATTTATTTGAACAGTCTGGTCAGATATATGAGCATAAAAAAGATTAATGTCTTGATGGAGCCAGTTTGGTGTAGTGGTTAAGACGCCAGATTAGAAACCAGGAGACCATGAGTTCTTCAAACCTTAGGCATAAAGCCAGCTGGGTGACCTTGAGCAACTCATTCTCTCTCAGCCCTAGGAAAGAGGTAATGGCAAGCCACTTTTGAAAACCTTGCCAAGAATACTGCAGGGACTTGTCCAAGTAGTCGTCAAGAGTCAACAATGACTTTAAGGCACAAAAAAAAAAAAAAAAACAAATACAAAGGCATGGCAATAGGTAAGAGTTTTCTCTAGGAAATGGAAACAAATGTCAGTTTGATTATAGCTTCAAATTTGATAATCATATCGAATGATCTCCTTTTTTTTTCTTTTTCACTTCATGGCCTTTTATCCTTCAACTCCATGAATTTCTTTAAACATTGTCCATGCCTAAAATGTTTTGACAAAAGATTATCAGTATCCTCCATGCTTCTGATTGATATGTATTCAGTGAGTTAATTAAGAACAGAGCTCTGACATTTTCTCCAGTAGCACAGATTTATGTGACTGATTTGAAAACATCTGTTTAAAGAATGCAGTTTTGGCCATACAATCTTGCTTTGAAAACAGAATGAACCCTTCATAAAGTTTTTTGCTTTTGTATCATCTCAGTAAGATATAGTTCTTCATGCTCTTACAAATGGCTTTGTAAGTTTCTTCTGAAATCAGATCACCCCATCCCCACCCTCCTTTTCATGCTTATGGATAAAAATCTTACTGCTTTAATGCATACCTTAAATAAGAAGCTTGGAAAAGAATGTAGCAATACATTCATTTTATTCTTTGTAAAGGCAATATTTGTTTCTCCAGCTATGCAACTGCCTTCCATGTATATAAACATACGCATATAACTAGCTTGCTTGTGTATAACCAGAAGAGGCAGAAATTTCAATTGGATCAATCAGCTGTCAACAAAACCACCAATTACACCTATTTTAGCGTAATTTCCAGAAGAATAAATGTATTGGTACATCACAGCAAATTTGTGTATTTCATTTTATGTGGATTAAAGTTCACTTGATGCATTGACTAAATTGGGCTCCAGGTCACATAATCCTTCATTTAATAAAGCTTACTTTGGAAGGATGCCTGATTAGGTTTGTTCAATGGATAGGTTAATTGCTGGAGTGAGAAAATGAATAGCAAATGTATTGGGCGAATGCCTGGAAGGTTTTGATCATACAGAATTAGGGAAGGAATTGGTGGTTTTATTTTACATTTCAGTGCATAAGCTCAGAAAGAAAATTTGTTAGTCCAGCGAATGGGATAATTTAAAAAAGGAGGAAAGAAATAACACTGGTGACGAATGGTTGCCCATAATTTGAGAAGCTCTATGGGGTAGAAATTGAGGACAGGAATTCAGAATTCATACAAATCTCATGTATTGAATTAATGTTGGTACTATAAATTACTGGGTACAGCAAGGAGAAAAGTGATGTCAGAACAGAGTCTCAGCTTCATGACACATTGTAATGGGGAGGTTGTGTCGTAGTAGTAATGTACACTACTGCAAAATATTTTTTTAAATTATTATTTTGAAATCATAAGTGGGGTTTATTTGAAAGTTCCATGGGTTTGGTTCATCCTCAGCTTTAATTTCAGGTATTCAAAATTCAAAATTAGTTATACCTCAATTCTGCTTGAAAATATTCAGATTTAAAAAGCAATATTATAGTGATTTACCTGTTGAAATTGGAACTGCACGATGAACAGAAAATGACAAGGGTTTTCTGTACTTGAATATTGCTGAAAATATTTCTTTTCTAGCAGGGTGACTGAACTTCTCTTACAGAATTTTGTAAGGTTTGAAATGATTTCCTTGTGATTATTAGGCATTAAATGTGTGTGGGATGGGACATCAAAGCATTACTAGTTAAGCTGTCTTGAAAAAGTAGAAACCTTGGTTTTGCTTTGCTTTCCAGCCCACTCAAAAATATCTAGGCCAAGTCAGGTCTTACCTTCTTTAGAAATTCAACTTGTTCTTGCTTAATGGGAATTAATGAAGACTAAGGTATTTTGCTATAAACTTTGTCTCATACAAAGTTGTATTTCTAATCCAGACAGTTAACGTGCTACAAGGAATGCATTGTCAGAATGTGATTCTAAATGATTCATGCAAGTGGGATAAATCAGATTAAAAACAAATGAAGCCAGCTTTGGTTAAATCTAATGTTATACCAGCTACAGTAACAGTTTGGTGTTCCACCAACTTAGGACTCTTTGTCTGCTATCGGATGTATCATGGGTAAGCATGAAAGAAATACAATTACTCAATACATAAAAGCCTCAAAGTATCTTATTAGTCACCTATGTATTCTAGAGTTCAGTAAATATCTATTTTTTATTACTATTTTCTGGAAGTGTTTTCATGATAAGTGATCCATTTCTTTCCAGGCAATTGTTGAAGAGTGAGCTTGGATCCTTCATCACAGACTATTTTCAGGTAACATTTAGTCCTTAAGTAGATAGAGGAAAGAATGAAATTGGACTATCTTTTGGTTCAGTCTTTATGCTGGCTTTCTTTTTTCTTGTCCTTTTTAAGTAGCTGCAAGTTCTTAGATTTTGAGTAGAAAGCTGGAAAGTGTTTCATAGCATGATAACAAAGGGTAAAACAACATTGGACAACCTTATTCGCAAAACTGCAAATTGATAAAGTCAGTATTTCTTTTTTAAAATGATAGGATTGTATTACATAAAAACACTCTATTTAAGTGGATAATACTATGAGGATGATTATTTTTCTTTAGAAACTCTTGAACAATTGGAAAGTGGATTTCAGAAAAAGGGTCATAACTAGGGAATTTTCTCTGTTTTTAGCCTCAAAATCCTTCATGGGTGTATGTGTTGCTTAAGTTACAACGTTCACAACTAATGTTTCTCTTCTCCACATTCCCCTCATCATTCTCATTGCAAAACTTATAAGTGGAAAAGTACTTCAATGCCTTATGAACATTTGGGATAAATAATACACCCAATATCTTTTTAGATAATGTCTGGATAATTAATCCAAGATTACCAGGTTCCAGTCTAGAAGACTCTGGAGCACCCTTAAACATTATAAAATTAAAAAAAGGATAAAGATATTTGATCATAAGGCATCCTGAAGAAGTTTCCACAATCAGTCTTTGAAGATATTCCACCTTTTCATAAATACTCAACTGATGGCTTAATACTATCTAATCAGAAATACTTTATGTTGACTCTTGTACCATAGGGTTAATGTATTTCTTCATATTGATTTAAGATCACTTCAATGGTCACTGAGAACACTGAGATCCTTGAGAACAGCTTCTTTTGATGAGTTTTCCTCCCTAGGAATTCATGTTATGATGCTTAGCCTTCCCCACCTTTTTGGAAAAAGCTACCTAAGCAATGACATAACATATGCAGTGCAAATTCCCATTCTTGGCAATTCAATGTGGAATGCATGTTAGATAAGCTGTCAACCCACATAGTTCCAGCATGCTTTAAAATATGTTGTGGTTGTGGCTTTGAAACAGCGAGCAGAAATCTTATTTATTAAACCTTTCAGGGAACGTAGCATTGCTTTTTGAAATCTGAATAGTCTGCAGAGCAACAATAATTCAAACACTGGAGGTGAGGAAATGCATGAGTCAGAATGAAATTATTATGTACCTTTTAACTGATAAACAGCCCTTAAATTTAACCACAGAAAAAGTTTGGGTCTTGTTATCTGTAAGAGTCCAAAAAAATGTGTGCACAAATTCATGGCTGTATAAAACAGCTTCATTAGTGAAAATGAAACTTCTGAAACCAAAATATGAATAGGATGTTTCTTTCGCCCACCTCTATATTGGGAACTTGTTAGATTTCCCAGAAGTAGCCATAAGGATTTCTAAAAAGACAAACTTATAATTTATTCTTTATGCTCAATTTCAGAGTACACTATTAAATGCATTTCTTGTAACAGCAATAATCTATAAAATACTGGCTCAAAGGTTATATTTATATAGTTTGTACAATATATACATAAACAATTGGCACAAAGTTTTCACACACACACACACACACACTGAATTTCACTGTATTTTATTCTTGTTTGAGGAACAGAAAAAAACCCTATAAAATTCATAAACTTACCCAAGCCTAATTCTTGTTAAATATGAAATAAAAATAACTGGAGATTGTAATTCCAGGCAATATCTTGTAGCGTGCCATTTTGTAGTACAGATTTAAACCAGTCCTATTCAGGTCAGATGAATGTCATGATAGCAAATTAATAAATGAATGTTTTAGTAGATTGATTAGTGAGAGACAAATTTAATTGGCAAGATTGTGGGTTACAAGCACTTGATTTTGGTGTTGGTAATGGCATTTAAGGGGGAAGAAAAAAAATTGTTACTTCCCCCAATGACTTGTTTCTGTAATTTAGGCTCTGCTTACTTCTAGATTTTTTTTTAAAAAAATAAGTCACCTAAAACAATAGTAGGATAGACATTGAACAATAAATCAACACTTTTGAAAATCATGGCTTATGATGAATGGCATGCTGGTGAATTTCAACTTATTCACTCCTTCTGCTAGCTTGAATTGTTAAATAAATCTAGAATGATTTATTGGCACATCAGTTGGACTAGAGATGTTTGGCTGTTGGTCTCCATACAAGCCATAAGTTGTAAATGAGAAAGGAATCCTGGCTTGTAAGCAGTGAGATAAAGCCAACATTTCTGATGCAGGAATGTGCTAAAGGGATGGGATTTGTTTGACCTCTTGTATTAATTGGGAGGAATAAAACATAATTAATGAACAAGATATATCAGCAGCTCATTTACAGTGAAGATTCTCCAGAATTCTGGTTATCATTCTGTGTAAAAATGGCCAATGTTTAGAAATATTATTAGTTCTTTTTTGAGCATAAAAATAATGGAAATGGATCAATAGAGCTAGGCTGAAGTTTGAGCTCATTCAGAACATCAACCCTAATATTTTCTTCTACACTCTTCTGGGAACAAAGAGTACAAAACCCAGATCTTACACAGATATAATAGGTCTAATGAAAAGATAATACTTGACCTCAGATAGCAATAAATTGACTAAAATTGTGGAATATTAGGCAATGTGAAATGATGTAATAAGTAAACCATGGTATATGGCTATAAGTATAAGTTTGGAGCTTTTGCAGATAAAGGGAAAAGAACGTACCATAAGTTTGGAGTTGTAGCCATCATAGTTTATTTAAAATTACTGGTCCATGGTTTGATTTTGAGTCATAATAACCAAATATAAGATAGATAAGATAAGATAAAATAAGATAAGATAACCTTTATTGTCATTTTACTGTGGGTACAATGGCACACATCAAAAATGAAATTTAGTTGCCCGCTCTCAAAGTGAAACACATACATGACACACACCTAAAATATACTATATACAACATATTATAGACCCACACTCCTACATATACAAAGCAAATAAATATTAAATATTGTCCATCTTGAATATATAACGGAAGGAGGAAGCTTGAGAGTTCACAAGGTTAATGCTGTATGGAATGAAACTATGGCTGAATGTGGATGTTCTGCTTTGGATACTACAAAGCCTCCTCCCAGAATGTAACAAGGAAAACAGGTTGTGAAGAGGATGTGTAACGTCCCAGATAATCTTATGGACCCTGCTCAAGCAACCTTTCTGTGCTATGTCCTGGATGGGAGGGAGGGAACAGCCAATGATCTTTTCGGCCATTCTCACCACTCTCTGCACTGCCTTCCTGTCTAAAGCAGTGATGCTATATGACAGGATGCTCTTGATCTTCTCCCTGTAGAAAGTGGTCAGGACAGGGGAAGGAAGATGTGCTTTTCTCATACGATGCAGAAAAGGTTTATTCAATATGTCAGTTAACCATACCATATCTAAGCCATAGTTTCTAGGTTCACAAATCAGATTTAGTTGAAACAAAGAAACAAAACTATGACTTAACATGATGTGTACCTTTAACAAGTTACTGTTTTATGTTTAAATTCTGGTAGATGAGCCCTTATATTCCCTTGTAGCTTCTCAAACTTTTCTTTGTGTTATGATTCTTCTTCAGTCTGGATTTTTAATTCGAGATACTTTGTTTTCCAATATCTTTAACCAAGTTCATAAGTTATTACAGAGGGAAGAGGAGGGAGAATATAATACATGGCATGGTTTGTGAGAATAACATGAGTAATTGTTTATTCTAACATTTTGAGAAATGTGAGAAGATGATTGCTTACTTTTGCCCAAAGATATATTTATTGAATCTGAAGTAATTGCTAAACTTCTAAGTAATACAGAGAAAGGCCTTCTGTTAAAAAGGGCCTCAGACTTCCATGCACCATATTAAAACAAAGCATGGATTATTTTAAACATAGTCTCTATTGAGTAATTTTAATTGGGTTGGCATAGTTTTTCCAGGCTTTCAAAATGTAGCTTCTTGGGAAGGAAGCACTGCAGGGGCATTGATGCATTACTTAAAATGAGAATAACTTCTTCTCCATGATTGCTATATATTTAGACCATTTGTGTATTTTTTGCCTGCATTCTTTTTCTTTTGGCTTGTTCTGAGTTTGCAGGAAAATAGTTGCTTGGGTAATTGAACATAATATTACGACTGCTGACAAATTTTCTGTTTTGTTCACTGTTCCTCTGTGTGCTTGCTTGCACAAAGTTCCCTTGTCGGCCAATTATTTTCCATCAGATAAGGAATTCACAACTATTCTTGATAGTTGTGAATTATTCCATGTGCATACAGTATAGGTAAATTGTAGGCAGTGGAGTACATCCATCTCTTGAAACACTCCCCATAAATGTTAGAGGAATAGTTACTTAAAACTGCTGATATGATTCATCTGCCTCTTTTTCACAGTGGAAGGATTGCTCATAACCGTGTGTATATTTTATTACATAAAATTCTGTCTGCATGCATAACCTCCTGCCTCAAGGCTTCCCCAAATTGGTGCATCCAGATGTGTAGGATTTTAATTCCTTGAATTCTTATGACCACTTTGTCTAGGAATTCTGAGTCCAGAGGGCACCTTAGTGATTATTATATAAAATATTACTACTTTATATTATCCCAGAGGGCAAGAAGACAGATTCCCATTGAATGTTAGGAAAAACATCTTAACAGTAACTTGAAATTAGAATCAATTACCTAGAGACATATCTTTCTTATTAAACATTTCTGATTTAATGGTAAGCAGAAGCTGAGTAAGTCTCTGTCAGGGATGTTTAATTTGGGTTTTTCGTTTTTGTTTTTTTTTGCACTGAGCAGGGAGTTGGACTTGATGGGCTGAGCAGTTCCCCAATTCCATGATCATAAGTATTGTAGTACACAGGCAAATTACACTGGCTTCCGGTCTGCTTTTGAGTACAGTTCAAGGTGCCGGATGTGACCTTTAAAGCCTTTAATGGCATAGGGCCAGGCTACCTGATGAACCATAATCCTGTTAAGATCAGCCCATCCTATTCAAGTTGGCAGTGAGGGCCTACTGCAGATCCTGTCAGTCAAAGAACTCTGACTGTCAGGATTCAGAAGAAGGGCCTCCCTTGCCGCAGCACCTGCCCTTTGGAACATCCTGCCCTCCAGGATAAGATCTGCCTCCAATCTCCTATCTTTCCATAAAAGCCTAGAGATCTGGCTCTGGAAATTGGCCCGGGAATCCAGTGGGGAGTTCTGGAGCTGGCTGCTAGATTGACAGCCGCCTCCGCCTCCCTTCCCCTCTCTGCTCCCCACCCACTCATCTTTTTTTACTTGTCATATTGATGTGTTTTCTTAGTTTTCTTTTTCCTTGTTTGTTTAATTGTTTTTATTATTGTTATATATTATTGTTATATATTATTTTTATTATTTTATTATTCTCTTTTACTTTCCCTTTATTTAAACTTTCTTTTTATTTCTTCCTATTTTATGGTTGTGAGCTACCTAGAGATAGGCAGCAAATAAATTTGATGATAATAATAATACTTAGACCGTGTTTTCTTAGCTTCATCTCTCATTCATTCTCCCTGCCAGCAAACCTCAGGTTGCCAGTTCCTTGGGAGATCTGTGTGAATATTCTTAAAGCAAATTCTGCAGAATAACAGTGTTAACTATTGAAGATGTTCTGTGAGTTATTCTGAGGTCCAAAAGCTTTTTAATGGGTTTTAGATCTATTTATTTTCTAATGAAAAATGAATAGGAAATGTTGGTAGATCTCATCATAAGCATATATTAAAATAATCCACAAATTTCACTGAAAGTTCACAGGGAACTGACAGTATGGCTTCTTTTTCCTTCAGCACATCTCTGTGAATGTGGATTTTCAGCATATTCTTCAACAATGACTAAATGTTGAAATATGTTTAATGATCAGAAATCTTGTAAATAAAATGATATTTCATGAAAGGCCATACATTCCATTAAACTGATTATTATAACTTCTGCATTAAATATAAAGGAAACAAAATTGTTATTTAAACAGCTTTTTCATTTGTTTCCTTTTTTAAAAAAACAAACAAAAATATGAGGTGTACCTTTTTTTTAAAAAAAATAAAGTTTTGCAGAGTGCAGCATGCACTGATGATGTGAAATAGAGAGTCAACATTGACTCATTCCTACTATTTTTTGAAGTTCAGAAGTGTCAGTTCGTATATAACACAATTGATACAAGAAGGAGTTGTGCCTGGGGGCAGCCCCAAAGGTTTTAATTGTACAAAACATTTTTAGGAAATTCCCTACTTTAAGGGGAGATTCCAAAGTACAGACAGATTCAGTGGGCAGATATACAATTGGACTGGAGCCATCACCTGAAAAAGGTAGAACAATAAAATGGAATAAAATAAAATAAAATAAAATATAAACAATAAAATAAAATGGCTGATAACAAATAGGGGCATTCCTTCATGCAGTGTGTTACAAGTCCTAGTTGTGTACTAATTCTTAACACACTGGAAAACCAATATAGCATTTATAATATTGTGTTGTCCTTTTAAATTCTATACAGTGCAGAACCAGACAGAATAGTCTCTGTTCTAATTTCATAAGAATTTAGTTCAGTTATTTTCTTCCATCAGTGAATGTCTTTACGGCATTGGATCACCAAGGTATTTGCAGCTGAGATATGCCATGTGATTGAACATACAGGAAGCAGAACAGAGACTGATCATATGCAGGAAAACTTTCTTTGCATGTATTTTCCACATGTATTTGGCAACCTGGAAATGCATGCTCTTTGAGACTTTCCAGAGCTGAAAGTAAAATATAAATATAATGTTAAAATGCAATACAATGCTTACGGCACAATAATAGCAATAAAATCCAACCTGAAAATGGTTTGGGCAGAAAAGAAATGAGTCTGATTGGGAATTGAGATATTACAGCTAGAGCATGTAAAACTTTCATTGGGCATGTGTGTTTTGATGTACTTGATATAAAACTAAGAGGGGTTTTAAAAATATGTTGCTTGTTCAGTAGATTGGATAAATATATTTGAAATAACTTTTGTAAAAATTGAAAGCATCATTTGTATCTTTGAATTTGTGAAAATCCAATCTTTTTTTTTTTCTTTTTGGCAGAATCAGCTTCTTGCAAAAGGTTTGCTATACGTAGAAGAAAAAGTTAAGTTTTGTGAAGGCAAGTATAGAAATTGACAACTTTGGGGAAGGCTCTGAATTCCCAGAAAGCTTTGTGAATCATCTTCTGAAGTTGCTAAGATGAATTCGGGGAAAAACCAACATATCAGAATGACATGTCTAAATATCCCCAAGTCCTAATGTGTATAAGCACCACAATGAAGTCATAATAATAGCATTGAATAGAAGTGATTTGGAACAGAGAAGAAAATACCTTTCTAATTGAAAAGCATGCTTTAAACCTCCATTTATCAACACCATTTGTGAAAAAAGAAGAGATAGCTTGCCATGTTATATGAGCATCATGCAAATGATCATATGGCAGCATTTATCTGTATACATGTACCATCAATGACCAATTGATGGTGAAAGATGTCTAGCAAATGGCTGTAGTCAACTTCACTATCAAATCAATATTGTTATGAAAGACTATTAAGCATTGATTATATTTCTGCAGGGAAAGCATGGCTTATGCTTGAACATTATAGACTGGGATCAGTTACGTTATGCCTATAATTCTCAATCTGCATCAGAAATCTTTTATTATGTTCCGTGTGATTTTTCCAATTGATCCTGATGAGTACAACTGAAACATTGTGGATATGTTGTGGTGGTCTGTCACTATCAACTTTTTGATTATAGTGAAAAGTTTGGAAACTATTGCAGCATGTTGGACTAGAACAGTGGTCCCTAACCTTAATGGGTTGGCAGCCTGGGGGGGGAAGAGAGCGGGCTGCATGAATGGTGGGCTGGCGCGGGTGCAGCTCAACATGCAGAAGCAGTGGGCCAGCATGCACACACATGCACACACAGCTTGACTTGCACATGTTGAGCTATGTTTGTGCAAGATGAGCTGTCCTGCCACTCACATGCCCGCTTACAAATAGGTTGGGGACCCCTGGACTAGAAGACCTCCAAGTCCCTTCCAACTCTGTTATTCATTTGAAAGTTAATTCCAAAAAGATTGGGGCAGGGTCCTGGTTTTCATGAAATGTAGCCTTATCTTAGATTGACATAAAGTACATGGGAGAATGTTACCTAGGCCAGAGGTCCCCAACCACTGGTCTGTGAACTGGCACCGGTCTGTGGCATGCCAGAAACTGGTCCGTGCAAACAAGCAAATCCCTATCCACGGGATGCAGGCAGTACATGGAACCATGCCCCCTCCATTCCACAAAAAACCTTCTCTCCACGGAACTGGTCCCTGGTATTTAAAAGGTTGGGGACCTCTGATCTAGGCCATAACAGTTTTCAGTTGCCAGTCTGCCAGGAAGTGATGTTGGTCTCTAATAGCTCAAAAGGAAGCAGGAACTTATGGAGAAATAAATCTATCCTAGTTTCTTAACCACAAAACTATTCAGACTTCTGACCAGATAAATTTCAATTGTTGCACCTGTTTCTTCACCAGTATAAGCTTTCTGGTTTACTGTTTTTCTGGATTCAAAAGAAAAGAAAAGAAAATAGAGTTTTGCAGATGTTGTAAAAATTGCATGCAATATTTTTAGAACTTTTTTTAAAGACCAGAGACACTCTTAGCTAGACGTTAAAAAGCAGATGTGATGTGACAGCTCTAGAATCTGTCAACGATATTGTTAAATTAAAACTCAAAATAATTTCTAATTAAAGTCAGAAAATTAGTTTTCCTTTGAGAGAGATTTTTACAATCTTAGTTTAATTTTTTTAAATAAAATTTTATTACAATTCAGTGGGACATAGGCTGCTAAAACTACAATTCCATGAGTCCTTATTTGGAAACAAATCTAATAGCAATGAATAACATCTGCCTATAGTGTTGCAATGTGAGCTCACAGTTATTTGGAGTGTGTGCTCATCTGGGTCTTAGGCCGTGACAATACAGCAGCCAGAAATTTGTGCTTCTAAATTGGAAATAAAAGCTGAGTTTGGCAATTCTTCAATGGTAAATTTCTGAATCACTCAACTATGTGGAAAATTCAGTTGGTGCCATTTGTGGCTGTTGAAATTTAATTTGGGAGAAAATCAAGTGATTCTTCAGTTCCATAAATACTGAAAAAAAAAATATGATCGTTGGTTTCATTGGCATGGGACCTGAAAAATATTTGTAAGATATTTAGACCAAAGGAGTTATATTTGTAGTGATGGTGCATCATGCTTAAAAATAGTTTTGTCTTGTTTTACCACAATTTAACTGCAAATCCTGCTAAAATCCAGTTCACCCTGCAATGTATGTTACAGGTAGTCCTTGGGTTACAATGACAATTCGAACTGAAATTTCCATTGTAAGTGATGCAGTTGTAAAGCATGATATCACATGAATGAATCATGTAGCAATGGCAATTCCTCAGTCCCAGTTGCTATTTAACTGTAGGACCACATGGGTCTTTAATGGGAAGATTCAAGAGTCCCAGGCTGTCAGATGAGAGCTGCAGGTAGGTGGTAGGGTGCTGTGAGCAATCACACTGGAGCATAGGCAGGTGTGCAGATGCTGTAGGGACGTGGGTAATACCTTAGACTGGTGCTTTGGAGTGTGAGTGGGTGCCATGGGCAGGCCCTATGGACTGTGTGTGCTGTGGTGGAAGTGCTGTTGGCAAGGTGGTGTAGAGTGTGAGTGAGCAAAAAAGCAGCAGGAGCTATTTCTGATTTCCTGCTGGTTTCCCCACTGACTTTGCTTGTAGAAAGCTGTCAGGGAATATTGGAAACTGCAACAACCAGAATTCTGAAGACAGGTTATAACTTTAAAGAGTTGAATGAATTGATGTGATCCAAGTAGTACTGTATTATGATTTCAGAAATGAATATAAAGACACAATTAACATGCTAGGATCTGACTTCATTGGAAGAGGATCTGACCAGTCTCCAAAGAATTTTGAATGGATGTTTTACTTTATAACTAGCTCTGAGAGGTAGAGTGAGCAGACAGAGAAGTATTCTTAACCATACAGTATGTATGGGGATAAGATGGTAACAAGGTTTAAAGAGAAGCTAATTGCATTTATCTGGGTGGAATTATAGTGTTCCATAATTGCATGCACAAATGCTCATCACAGATTTTCTCCTCACTTCAGTTAAGAGTTGCTAAAAAAGGCTAGAGGAAATCCTGTTTAATGGCTTTTGAAATATTAATGCATACTCACTAGTGGGTATTTTCTTAACTGGTCAAGAAAAAGTTTTGAGAAAGAGCAGCCTTATGGATAGATCAAGTACAGTGTTTTTTGATGCTATTATGTAGAATTATATTAGTAAAAATGTAAGGGATGCATTCTATTTGACTGATTTTTCCAATCTGCATTCTTAATGTAGTATTAAACTACTGCTTTGTTGACATCTGAACATATATTCAGCAGCTCTTGTTAGGATTACTGTACAGCCAGCATCTCTAGCCTTGATCTTTCTGCATTGGAAATTGAATAAAGATTCTATTCATATTCAATCAATCATAAATAAAAGCCACTGTATGTGGAGAACCATGATAACATAGGATTCCTAACCAATTTGAGATTTATGGTTGTGTTCAAGAAACAGCAAGCAGAAGGTCCCTTGAAAACGTGCTCTCAAGTTCAGGATGTAGGTGGGAATAGGTTTTGTGTTCATAACCCCCCCTCCATGTTTAGCCTGCAGATGATCTTATTGTAATAGGATTATATGAAATATAGGCTCATTGGACAAAGTTCTTCCAGTCTTACCAGCTCCTCTTATAAAATGGGACTTCTGGTTTCCAGTGACTTTATACCCTTCATATAAGTATGTGTCTCATTAATTGATATATTTACAACTGGAAATAGAATATTAAAATTTCTATTACTGAATCTTTTGTGGATACTGAAATATTCTTTAAATAGAGAGGAGCGGGACACCTTGTAGATTCTCTTCCTTTGGAATGAACAATTTAAAAAATGCTCTGAAAGTTGAAGCCTGCTAAATTATTACTGTTATTTCTCTCTCTCTCCCTCTCCCTCTCTCTCTCTCTCTCTCTCTCTCTCTCTCTCTTTTTCTGGGAGAAGGCCCACATTCTTTTAGTTAAAGGTTAATGAAGTCTAAACAATGGGCTTTTTATTAAGCATATTTTTTTCCTTTTTAAATAAAACATTTTTATAACTTTCATATGACCTTAGCCTGAGGCATTATGGAATACTGATTATCTTTCAAAAAAGTCAATACATTATTTTATTTTGGAAGGAAGACAAATAGAAAGTTGGCATAATTGCCATGTGTTATAATTTATGCATGTACAGAATTTTTATATTATCAGTTTCATGCAAATTTTTGTCAAGGTACAAAGTGCATAAAAATCTTAGAAAGATAATGCTATAAAACCTACCCTACCCCAAAAGATACCTGGAAATAAACAATTTGCAACATTTCTAAATAATTAAATGTTATATGGAAGTGCTTAGCCATTAAAGTCCTCTGGAAAACTGCCAGGGATGGTCCCGTTCAGTTTCCACAGGTCACTTCTTCTATAATATAGGACATGTTCCCAAAACTATAATGCCCTTCTTCTTGCTCTTCTGATCTTACCTGGGGAAGAGGTACTTTTACCCATTTGGAGCAAACAGATCAGATAGGTTAGTTCTACCTTAACTAGTTCTGCAGACATCCAGACTCTATGTCATAAAGGGCTTTATAGGTTAAACCCAGCATTCTGAATTGTACTCAGAAATCTATCGGAAACTAGTGAAAGACCTGCAAAACAAGTGTTGGGTGGCTCTGGTGGTTTTTACTCACCATACATGGCAGCTAAGTTCTGCACCAGTTGCAGCATCCAGGAAGTCCTTAAAGGCAGCTCCATAGAAAACATTGCAGTCATCATTCCAATTGTAGCTGAGTGTCCCTTTGTGCAAAATTAGCCAGTATTTGGATAAAGGAGGAGACATCCTGTGTTAAGCTTCTAGTGACTATGTGAGCACATCCATGTGGTTATCTTGGCCACCAGATGGAAGTGGTTTGTCCTTGCTTATTTCCTGGTTTTGTTTTTCCTATTTCTCAGGCTAATCCCAAACTAGTATTCCTGGAGGTCTCCCATCCAGGTATCAACCAGGTCCAATCCTAGTTAGCTTTTCAAGATCACCCAAGCATGGCTAGGTGCTACCACTTATCTGGGCCTCTGCTCCTTAGCTAGAAGAGACCTAGCCACCTCCAGTAATCTCACGAAGCCAAGCAATGTATGGACTTAATTTGTACTTGGAAATGAGAGTTGTGTACCTAATAACAACATGTTTCTTGAAAGTTTCCTAACGTTCATTGTATTTGTTTTAGGAGAAGATCGTATCTATGTATTATCTGAAACTTGGGATCACTTCTTCACAGAAACTCTTCCCACACTACAGGCTATATTTTACCCTGTTCAGGTAAATCTAGTCAAATTTAAGCTCAACAGGGCAGAGAAAACATTTCAAACCTACTCTGTAGTTGAAGGGAGACATGAAACTTAATCAGTAAAAGAAAACAATTTTAAACTTTAAGAATCACATTTCACCAGAACTGCTGTTAAACCTGTTTGTCCTGCTGTTAATATGGTTATAAAACTCTTGACTTATTTAAGCCACAAACCCTGTTACCCAATAATTATAAATTTACACTATGTTAAAGGATAAGTTATTCTGGATCAATGTCTTCTGTAATTGTTAATGTACAGCTCAATATCTATTATTAATGATGCATTTTATTTTAACCACCCAGAAAACATTGTAATTGGACAATATACTAATGATAAATGTCTTCAATCTGACCCCTTCCAGGTATATTATAATAACAAAATTCCCAGCCAAGCTGGCCTGGCTTCCTCAAGGACAAGATTTTGTACTTTCTTCATCAGCTTTTCTCTGAATTCTTTGATCATCTTCATTATAGCCTTTTTTCCTTACCATTGTACTTGAGTAGAAGAATAGGAAAGAAATCTAATTTCCCTGGTTGACTCTTGAATTTCAAATGATGATTTGTAAAGAGGCAGCCAGATACTTTGATAAGGTTCTTTGAGGTAGATATAGAGGTAGCATATTACAAGCTAAAATCCCCCCTCCCATTTTCTGATTCTAGAACTGTCTGTTCCCCTAGAAGCAGAGAAATTCATAAAATGTGTTTATATTGGCCTCTGACTAAATTGGCTCAACCCACTGTCCCATAAGCCCAAGTATTTGTGTGCCATAGTTAACAATCCTCACTGTTGCACCACCTTTTACACAAACCACTTTTATATTTGAAACAAGTGGAATACTAATAACTTCTCTGTTTTTTTTATCGCAGTAATTATTTTGGCATTCTGAGATAAAAAAAGGTAATATTTTTCTTCCCGAGGAGCTGAACGAGCTCAGTAAAAGGGAATTAATTAGAAGACCAAGAAAATAATGTTATGTAGGCAAGAGAAGTTACTGATGGAACAGATTTTTTGTAGAATGAAATTCTTAGGAAATCTATCTCTATGCTTTTCCAGACCTCCCTTTAATAATCCAACACTAACTGGTGCTATTTTTTCCCCCTCTAGACCAAAAATATCAACAGGTAAACATCACTACCTTATGCAAACCTTGTTTCAAAGTGGTGTTTTCCACATTACTAGGGAGAATGTAAATATTTGCTTCTTGCTATAAGAATCTTGATTTCCCATGCTCTCTCTCTTTTTCTTTTTCCTGTTATTCCCTTCCCCTATTCCTCCTTTTTATACTTGCAGCAGATGATAAAAGGTATGTGTGGCTTTACGGGAAGGTGAACTGTGCACACATTTGAAAAATCTTTAACTCCTAGGCTCCTAAAAATATGACCATGGACATGGGTGCCAGAGTGTATTTCAATTCCTTTTTGACCTACCAGGGTCCCTGCCCTATCTGATTTTACCTTTTGCTTTACATTTTTATTTTTTAAACGGGAAGCTGCAGTGTAAAAGCATACTCTCCAAATGTAAGTGGCAGAGAATATATTAGAAAATCAGAAGAGGTTATTAGGACAAATGAGGTGAAAATCAATTTAGCTTCTGGTAGATGGTCTGAACATTCCAAATATATCTACAGGCCCAGGAAGACTGGGACCTTAAATCAAATCAATTTTTCTATCTGTCACATTTGTAGGCAGATTAAATCATAAAGTCCAATGCTGAATCTTCTTTAGCATCTGTCCCAGGGCAAGATGCTTGAATTAAGGAGAGCCAGCAAGTCCACCCACAAGCATCTTTATGATTTTGAAGTGCTGTTCAGCTCTACCACATTCTAAATGGATTATAACACAGTTTTTCTTTGAATTACCTTAAATTTTGCCATCTGTTAAACACAATATATTTTACTATGTTTATAGGAAATGATTCACTCAGAGTTGTTATCTCTTGATGGATGTGATATGAAGTTACATTCTTTTTTTCATCTCATTATATTGCTGTTGCTTTGCTGATTAAAATGCTGTCCTAGATTCTTTTTTATCTGCACGACTGTTCAGACAAGCGCCTTCCGTTTTAAATAAATAAAAATAAGCATAGTGAAGCGTACCGCTTTCTAAGACAGAGCTCAGTAGCATCCCACTTGAAACCTTCCTCCAGTTTGACCGAGAAATAATTGAGGTCTTTCTGGCTTTGCAACCAACTGTGACTCCATTTGATGTAGCTTAGCTGATTATCTAACCAAAATATTATGTACAAATGGAAAGATGTTCCTTAAAGTACAGATAAATGGATAAAAGCTTCATATTATAAGAGATGTTTTCATGCACTGTGCTCTCTTTCACACTTTTCCTTCATAAACAAGCAATAGCATAAATAGCACAAAAGAAATTTGCTGCTCTAAAATTCTCTTGTAGCTTGGGTATAGCAGCAAATGTTACAATGATATGAAATTCAATGATTAAATTATAAAAATAAACCAGTGTGTATAGGTTAAATTAACAATTCTATATAAATTACTTGGGACAAAAGCGAAAGAAAAGCCAATTAATTGTAACAGAACATTTCCCTCAAAATAAATATATCAGTAAAGGTTTAATATAGTTAAAAGTGAAGAGCCAGGCAAACAAAATTTGTTATCATCTTGCCATAAATTGATAGGTATGGATAGTTCTTGCACTGTTCCCCTGCAGATGAACACATATCTGTATTCTTAATGTTGCTGGATTGTGGATACTTATTTGCTGAGATGTTCCTTCTTGGTTATTTTTTTAAATTTGCACAGTAGGTTGGTTGTAATACAGCAAAGGTTAGGTCAAGCTGAGAAGCTCACATATCTGTTTCTGTAGAAATTTCATTCCCTTCTTTTTGCAAGTCCTGCTCCATTTATTTGCCCATAACCACACCCTTTGAATCTTAAGAAGAGCAGCCCTTTTTAAAAACAGGAACTCTCCAACTTCAGAGCCTTTGGCTTGTGTTCTTGCTTTGCATTTTGATGAACTTGTTAGTTGTATCATTAACCCTATTATGAATTGATGATTAACATACATTTATTCCCTCCAGCTAGAGTTCTGGTTCATTAGTTGGGGATATCTAAACAATTCCCATGGAGAATAAACAGCAGGGTTGATTTTAGCTATTAAAACAGAAGTTGTAAACTCAGTGCTGAAGCAAAGGTTGAAGGATATGGTAGCTTCATAGGCTTGGCATTAGCTTTTTTTAAGATGGTAGCAAATAATAAAAACTCAACTTTTTTTTAAAGAAAAATCTTTATTCAAATGCTATATATTTTATCTCTTCCAGTGTTATTAAATATCTGAAATTGGACCAGCAAAGACAAGTTAATAAATTAAGCCTCATGCTTTAAGAAGTCCAAGATGCATAGTGAAGTTTTTGGGGAACCCCTTGGCAAGGGTGCTGCTTCTAATATGCTTTTCCCGTCTAACTACAAAGTGATCCCACTTCCCCATTCTTAACAACAGTTTAAACAACTGCCTTTCTATCCGCAAACAGATTATATTTCTTTTAATTTACAATAATTTCTCTGTCAGTTTATGTTTATGTTTCCATCTTCCAATTCTTTTATAATATTGTGTGGCTTTACTGTCCTAAAACATAGGGTTCAGTCTGCAAATAGGGTTGAACCATATTCCAATGCCAATGGCTGCCATTTTTTTTCTGTGTCTGTGTAGGGTCAAGAATTGACCATTCGTCAGATTTCCTTGCTTGGCTTCCGAGATTTCGTCTTATTAAGAGTAAAGTTGGATGAGATTCTTCCTTTGGTCCAAAGTAACCTTCCATCCTCCATTATTCAGATGCTGTTGATTTTACAGGTGGGGGAATGGTCTATTTCTCCTCTCATTTGTGATGTTTGAAGGAGATGGGCAAACATCTCAAGGCTGAAATATTTTGCCTCAAAACATCCTGTTCCAACCTCTCACTAGAAGCGTAGTGATGTTGGAACAGCCTGTTTTAACATTAGCAATCTTGAAATGTACTGTACCGGCATCCAAATGTATTGCACACTACTGTTAATGAACATTAGTGGAGAAAACATACTGTAAGGATGAAATTACTGCTTTCCAAACAGTTTATGAAGCAGAGAATTGCCTTTGGCCTGGACCCACAAATATTGGTTTCCTATATCACTGGGGTTCTGTTTCACAGGAAGGTATTGATGCAATGGTGGGATTCAGCTGGTTTGTATCACTTCAGCAGAACCGGTAGCTATTTTTTTGTTGCCCAGGCCCAGAATGGACTTCCGGAAGTGGCATCCATACAGAAAACTGGTTGTTCGCATATTTGAATCCCACCACTGCATTGATGATATGCCTGCCTGCACAAATGTCTATTCTCATGCTGTAAACATGGCTCTGATGGAGAAAGTCAACACGATGCAACCTTAATTATGTGTGTTGGGCATGGTATTTTCAATTAAGAGGGCTGGATTTCTGACATCAGTCTTTCATTGATAAAGTTTGAGCTATCTAAAATCTGAATCATGAAATTAAGTTTAATGTTGCAATATAGTGGTTTCAATGATCATTTCAAGGATAATAGTTTTTTTTATTTGTTTTAAATTACCCTGTCTGAGCTCTGGCCGTGAATTTTTGCCTTCTGCTCATTTTCCCCCAATTACAACTCTGACATTGGGAGAAAGAAAAAGGGGAAACATCAGGAATGCTGCCCTGAATTGCTGGGGTAGTTTGGATCTGGAGAATTAAAATATCCATCACTTCCCAATTGGGTCCCAAGTCCTGGGGAGACGGTTAATTTGCTTATATTCTTTGACTTACTGGAATGGCCTGCTTGACTATCTGCTAAGAGCATTCAGTAGGGTGCCGTAGAACAGCATAGAACACTTGAAGATAGGTAGATTTCAGTCCCAGAATTCCCCAGCCAGCAGAGTGGTTGATATTGAGAAACACTGCTATAGAAGATGATATAACTTACAACTCCTACATCATAATTTAGTACATAATTAAGTTTCTTTTCTTTGATCAATTAGAAAAATAAAGGTGGACCAATGAAATGTGTTGATTTGCATACCCCAGGTATTTGACAATAGGTATATTTTGTTTGTGTTTCAGGGAGTCCATGAACCTACAGGTCCCTCTAAGGCCTTTATGCAACTAGAAGAACTTGTGAAACTGGTAGTTTCCCCATACCTTGGTTTGTGTGAAGAACATTGCTTCCCTGGCAGTACCTGTGCCCTGGGTAAGATGTAAAGTATTGCAAGTCCTGACATTTGGGTCCAAGTAACTAGAGAGTCAGTGGAATCAGTAGAGAATCTGTTTTGTATGCACAAAAAGAGTTCACAAAAATGTAGTATCCAAAATTTTTGCTCACATTTGAGTATTGCTTCATTTGATTATATTATAAAACCCTGCAAAACATGTTTGGCCAGAGGCAATACCATAGGGCAAAGAAAAAGACAGTATGTGTGTGTTTGTTTGTGTATGGAATACCTGCCATTTATAAATTGACTATAAACTATCCATAGTCAAGGATGTGTAATCAATACTCAATGCTGGATGAGACACAGAAACTGAGAGTGAAAGCTTAAATTATCCCTGTGCGGATACTGATCAATACAAACTTGCATTTAATTTGTGTACATGCAACAAAACCCAACAACCTCATTTTCTTTTTCTTCCGTCTAACTGAATGATAATAAGACAGTCATTTGCAAATGTTTAAAAGCTAGTTAAAATCTGATTTACAAAAATAAACATAGTTTTTAGTGGTGTTGTTTTCCTTTGGCTTTTTAAAGAGCTTACCTAAATTATTAAGTGTCTTTCCTGTTTTGTATGCCTATCCCTTGTTCCCACAGATGCCTTTCCTTCTCCCCAGAATAGCTAATCTGATTGTTAGGAAAAAAAAATTATCTTGTGGTTAGATTAAATCATGATTGCTGTGGACGTTCCTCCCAGTGTATAGTGCTACATTGTGGGCAAGGAAATGACTGTAAATTCAGTAAAGTCATATTAATGCAGTGGTTCAGTATGCCTTTGGGCACAGATCGTTCCCATCCCATCTTAGATCATTTCAGTGGAAATAGCTAAAACTGGGATTTAGTCACACAGCACGTGGTTTTCTCCAATGGATTTTCATAATTAGGGGAGCATAGTCTGCAGATTTATTTTAATATGATTTGATATGTAGTTTGTTCAGTGGAGAGAACGTAAGTTGCTTCCAACCTATCCAAGGTTAACTTTTTCTCCCTGTTCATTCTATTTCTTTGTCTGTCTCTAAAGTTTGATTTAAAGCCAATGTTTCCTATATTATGTAGGAGTATAGGCCTCTACTTGTGGATTCTTAGCTCCCAGTGTTGGGGTGTTGATCTTGCTTGCATATATCTTTCGTGTTTTTAGCCAAGCAGAGTTGTAGGCTTCCTACTAGGTCTTGGCATTAATACCACACCAGATTAGTTTGTAAAACTGAGCAGCTGTAAATTCATGACTTCAATAAATGAGATGTTCCGGACACAGTGCAAATATAATCAATGTATAGCTAGCTGTTTACATCTAATAAAATCGTGACCCTTCTCCTTCAGAAGAAAAATAATACAAAGTGTACAGGGACTTGAGTGATAGTGAAATTGTTTATTTTAGGTGGCCATGTGACTCTTGTGAAAGCACTCTGCTATCTTCCTGTCTACCAATAAAACCAGGGTTTATTGTCATAAAACACATTTTATATACTCCATGACCTTCAAAGAATTATAGATTCAGAATACTTACATTTGGTCCTCCATTTAGAGAACATGTGGTTTCCACTACCATGCTTTGTATGTTTACATTCAGAACATCCTTGGTGCTTTGCCAACTGTATTACTGCATTTGGAGTTGACAATTGTATAGAAATACTGAAATTACGCTTTTAGGGGTAGATCAGAAGCAGGCAATTTTTTGAGTCTCATTTGAAATTTACACAGTGGCTAATATGGAAGACTGCTTGTTCTCAAAACAGCTGATGTGATGAAAATGGCAAGTCACAAATCACCCCTTTATTATAAGATGAACTAGTGCCTAAGCACACTCTCATCCCAGTATACAACCGTCATGAAACTCAAGGGTATTCCTGTAAATAAATAAATAGATTTATCCTTTTTATTGCTAACTTTCAATTTTTCCTTGACTTCCAATGATAGTGAGGAGTATAAAAATTACATAAACCATCATTCCTGACTTGTTTTGATAATTACCTTCTTGTCCACTGTCTAACCTGATATTTTAGGTAGTTTCCCTAAGGTCTTCCATCTTGTTATGTTTCAAGATGAAGGATGAAGGGAAAATAGAACATAACCTATTTTTGGATTGATCTGAATTTGGCAGCAACTAAAAACGCTTCCCTGAACTCAATTAGTAGCTGATTCCCTTCGTTTACTGGGATGAACAAAGGATGAGAAAAACTACTATAATGATTTTGGTGTTTTAAAGGGAAGCTGTGATTTTGAAGATTTAGATGTCGGGATCAACATTTATTGACCTTGAAAAAATTAAAGCATCCTAGAGTATCTTGCGAGCAATGGTTACTAGTTTTTTTTTTTTAAAAAAAAATCCAAGTATTTGATGGATGCATATTTTTAGCAAGTGACCAAAAGTTAGTTAGCTTAGCATAGTGTTTCTCAACCTTGACAATTTTAAGGCATATGGACTTCAACTCCCAGAATTCCGCAGCCAGCATTGCTGGCTGCGGAATTCTGGGAGTTGAAGTCCACATACCTTAAAATTGTGAAGGTTGAGAAACACTGGCTTAGCAGAATCTCTTGCACTTTTCTCACTCTCTAACTAGCAATTAAATATGTGAAAGGGAAATTCGTGAAGATTGGTCCCTTGAACAATGCTGTGATGTACGGAATAACAGTGAATGCTAAGACTGCTTCAGAATTAAAAGTGAAATTGGAGCTAAAAAAATCATTTCAGTGTATTTCAGGGCCTAATTAGACACTTGAATGGAGCACATTTTGCTTAATGGCTTTCAGACAGAAATAGGTTACATGAAGTTCATCATCTTCTCTCCATATAAACTTTAAGCATTGAACCGGAATGGGTGGGTAGAAATGCTGAATATTATATAAAGAAACATGTTTTTCTAATCCTAAATCCTATTGGAATAGATTAATGGCTGAGCCATCTTTAGGCCCTTAATGTACACAGTCTCTGTTCAGCATAATTGTTGACAGTTGAACAATATCTCCACCTATTGGATATTGAAGAAAATATCCAGTACTTTTCAGTTTTCAATAGTTCAGTGCATTTTGGATGAAAGTGTCAGACACTTATAATGATGGATGGTGCCATATACACTCTTCTCACAAGGCCAGACCATAAACATTTAGTGGGTCATGTTTACTTGAGTCTCAACATGAGGAAAAATGTGCCTGACAACCAAGGTGTGTTCATTATTTCCAAAACTTGATGACTAGAGAGCAACAGTTAAAATAGAAAAGGGGTGACTAAATGGTTCAAAATAGGGAAAGGAGTGCATTGTATTAAATAAATAATGTGACAGTGAACATCTAATTTATATGCAGCCGAACATGTTATGAAAAATGCAGGGGTAGAAGGAAATAAAATCAAAATTGCTGGGAGAAGCAATAACAGATTTCGGTATGCTGATGATACCAGATTGCTCAGTGGAAACCTTAACAATGGATCTAAAGCTGAAATATTATCTAATTAAAAAGCAAGAATCACTGGAGAAGACTCTTAAACTCGGATAGAGGTTGACAGAAGATAGGGTGGCTAGATGATAACATAAGCATGTGCTTAGAGGAACTCAGTTATTGGGTAACATGTCACAAAACAGCAGAAGCAAATGAATGATTACACAGCAACCACTAAAGGCCACATGGCAGGAATCTGTGGCATAGCATTCAGTTTGGCTTGCATACCTCTGTTGTGAAATCATTTAGTTGAGATGGACAGCCATACAAATTGAATAAATAATACAGTAACTACCTGAACTGTGGAAAACATACCCATTTCTCTTGGGCATCTTAGGAGAAATTTGGCAAGATTTCCTACATTTTTGGCGGAAAACCTTTTTTCCTTTTGTAGCATCTCCTGTTTCACCAACTTCCCAATTTTCCGGTTCCATTAATTTCCATTCTAGCCGCTCTGCAATTTTACTTTGATATTTTCTCAACTCTGTGAGTTGAGTTTGGAGTTATTTGTGACTCCTGCTTTTCAGATGTGTTTTTAAGTTCTTGCTATTCTATTTTGATACTGCATTTATTTATCTGACTTCTGAAATGAAGTGGTAACAATAGCATAATTGTATATATAGACATTGTACATCCGTTTAATAGCAAATATAGTACAAAAATTTGTACTGACTTATATTATGAGTTGGACTAAAAAGAAGAGAACTTTACATTGTGAAACTTTGCTCCCAGTTACAGGTTTGGATAATATTGAGACAAAATTGGTTAATTCAATGTTCTTTAATAACCATTACCAATGGAAGAATAAGCTATTAACTTAAGTTCAGATATTTATTTATTTATTTATGAGACTTATATACCGCTTTAAGTGCAAGCACTCCCTAAGCGGTGTACACCAGTAAGCAATGTATATATATATTTACATTGCCCCCAACAATCTGGGTCCTCATTTTATCTACCTCGGAAGGATGGAAGGCTGAGTCAACCTTGAGCCGGTGAGATTTGAACCGCTGACCTGCTGAACACAGTCAGCTAAAGTGGCCTGCAGTACTGCACTCTAACTGCTGCGCCACCTCGGCTCTGTATATAAATTGGTTGGAAGCAAATGTATTACAACTTACAGATATGAAAACTAAGGAAGATCTATTTAGATAAATTGGATTAGATTATTTTAAAATCCCATCTTTATTATTATTATAAATAACTCAAGGTGACAAACATACCTAATATTCTTTCCTTTTCTTATTTTTATCATAACAATAATCCTGTAAGGTGAATTGGGCTAAGAGAGGCTGACTGGCCCAAAGTCACCAAGCTTTCTTTCATGCCTAAGGAAGGACTAGAATTCATGGTGTTAGCCTGGTGCCTTAACCCGCAGCTAGCTAACTAGACAGAAGCTTTAAAGTGAAATATCACTCCATCTCTGAAATCTGTAGTGTTATACTTATTTAGTACCTCTGTCTAACTATCTATGATTTCTCTCTCCCATAGATGATTTTTTAATGCTTAGTCTTGTGAAACTTACTGTGCTGTAAAATGTGGTAAGCCATTTCTGAACTCTTCCCATGCTGCAATAATAAACGTTGCAGCATCTCTTTTGGATGTAGTGTTTCTATGAGCAGAACTATCAGGGGAGATAGTTCTGCTGGAGGAAAAAAAAAAAAGCAAGTTGAGTTTTATTGATGCCATACTTTTTTTTGTGGTGTCGCAACTTCCTAAAAAAAATTGTATGGGGGAATTGGAAATGTTACCAGAATATTATGAAGTAGTATGAGGATAGTAGTATACACAGCATTTTTCTATTCTCCTACCCTCTACAGCCCTATAAGGCAGGTTAGGTTGATAGTGAGTGACTGATCCAAATTCATCTAGTGAAATTCGAATGCTGAGTCTATACTGGGATCTGAATCTCCCCAATGCCAGTCCAGCATCTTCACCACTAAATTACAGGTACAGTACTCTTTGACTTACCACCACAACTGAGCCAAAAATTTAAATTGCTAATTGTGACAGTTGTTATGAGAGTTTTGCCCCATGTTATGGTCTTTCTTGCCACAGCTGTTAAGTGAATCACTGCAGTTGTTAAGTTGGTAGCACAATTGTAAAGTGATTCTGGCTTCCCCATTGACCTTGCTTATCAGAAGTTCACAAAAGTTGATCAAATGATCCCGGAACACAACCATCATAAATATGAATCCATTTCTATATATCTGAATTTTGATCACATTACCAGGAAGCAGCTGCAATGGGCGTAAGTGTGAAAAATGGTTATAAGTCATTTTTTTCCCATGCCATTGTAACTTTCAACAGTCATTAAATAAACTGTTGTAAGTCGAGGACTACCTGTACACTATCTCTATGATCTTAGAAGAGGTGTTTTAGTACATATGGGACCATGAATGTAGTACCTGTTCATGACTTATTAAAGCAGCTGTATTTTAGGAAATGTTTCTTTTTCTTTTTTAATGTAACTTTTATTAAGAATTTTAAATACAACAATAAAAATTAATGTAAATAAAACTTAGACAAGATAACATGGAAATAATAAAACATGCAGTAATGCAAGGAAATGACTTCCAAACTTCATTACAAGTATAAACAAATTTAATAACTTTTCAGCTCCTGTAACCTCCTCATCCTTTATGTCATCCCTCATCTATAAATAAATCCATAAAACATCAACCCTTCAGTCCTGTTTCAGTAAAAAGTCCATAAATGGTTTGCCAGAACATTGCAAACCAACAGAAAAAAAATCTTATTTTAACTTTGATCAAATAAGCCAACTTTATATTTCTTTCTTTTATTCCTAATAGTCTTAATCTTTAATTCAATCAAATATTGTTTTAGGATTTAATTTCTCTTCAATTCTTCTTTATCCTATTATACAAATGTATTCAAAGCTAAAATTTACAAAATCTTCTTCTCTCCTCTTCTCTCTTTCATCAAATTTCACCAAATCAAATCTCATCAAATGAGCCAAGGTGGCGCAGCAGTTAGAGTGCAGTACTGCAGGCCACTTTAGCCGACTGTGTTCAGCAGGTCAGCGGTTCAAATCTCACTGGCTCAAGGTTGATTCAGCCTTCCATCCTTCCGGGGTAGGTAAAATGAGGACCCAGATTATTGGGGGCAATGTAAATAAATATATATATATATATATATATATATATATATATATATATATATATATATACACACACACACACATTGCTTACTGGTGTACACCGCTTAGAGAGTGCGAGCACTTAAAGTGGTATATAAGTCTCATAAATAAATAAATAAATAAAAGCAACTCTGGGCAGCACCCAAAAATCAAGGATTTTTTTATATCAGTAAAGTATTCTTTTCAAAATCATTCTGTTGGTCTGTTATTTGTAGTTCCATTTTCAGTATCTTCTCTGTCTTGTCAGATAAAATTTGTTCCATATCTGTCATGGCTTCATTAATATCTTTTGGGCATAGTCTGTCCATAGAAGAAGACATCATTGCCAACAGATATTGATACTTTAATTACTAATTTCTGGCTCCATTTTTCAAATAACTCATTTAATATTTATAATGTTATAACATTTGATCGGTTTGGAAGTCCCAGTATTTATTGACATCAAGAACAAACTTGTATTTTTTTTCTTCTGCTTAGAACAGGGGTGTCAAACTGCCAGCCCGCGGGCCGGACGCATCATCCGGAAGCCGCACCCACCCCATTGCCGGCAATGGCAAAACTGTCCCAATATGTCTCGTGATGTCGCGTGACGTTGTAGGTTTGACATGTCTGGCTTAGAATATTTCGTTCCCTCCAGTTTCTAAAATCATCACTTATCCTTATCCTGATTTGCAATAACCACGATAGCCAAAATGAGAAACTGTTTCTTTTTCAAAAAAATAAATTCAAAATCTTATAGTGAAAATCAATATTCACCTGGATTTTTGATCCATTGATAACTTTCTTAGGTCAAAATTTTATTTAGCATTTTGCTATTTGTTTCAGGTTATTTTAAGTTCTTAAGCTCATGATTAATTTTTCTTTTGTTCTGAACTGAAGATAAATTCACCTGGCAAAATTATTTAAAACTTGTCTTGAGGGTCTCTAATGGTTTACGATGGTTTGGCAATTTCCAAAAATGATTAGAAAGTGGGGTTTGCAAACTTAAGTGTCCTTTAAAGGGCTTCACTTGTGAGCAAGATAGACAATCTCTTTGTCTCCCAGCACTCAATCCTGCAGAAAACTGCTTGTTTTTGCAGAAATTATCGGCTCCACTTTGCAGAACTGTCTTCAGCTTGCCATACCTTTCCCAGAAGCAGAAAGGTTCCTGTTTCTAATGCAGCATACAGTTTGATGTAAGGAAGTGGATGAAAAAGGAAGTGGTACAGTTTTGTTCAGGAGTAGATAGAAACTAGAGAAGGAACTATCAGCAGATTTCTGAATGATACACAAGGATTTTCAGTTCCCAACAGTAACAATAGTAACTATAAAATGACTCCTTGTTTAAAAGCATAACTTACTATAAATGCAAAAAGCCTGAGGTGAGCAGACATAGAAAAAAAAATGCACGTTTAGGGTCTCAAAACAAATTCCTGAGTTCATAATTCTTTAAGCGTTTGGAATGTGCATGTTTTTCCTTGGGGCACTTAGGATTTGACAGCTCCTCCCACTAAGTAAAACTTGAGTTTGCCTGTGCTTGCACTGTAAGTTTAAAATATGTGATCTGTAATTCCATCCCTGTCATATCAAATTGAAAAATAATCGGGTTTATAGTAGAGGTAGGCAAAATTACTGTTTGGAGAAAATGTATGTGCCCAGGGTTTTAAGAATAAAAATTTCAAATGTTCTGTCATAGAATAAAAACCTTAAAACAGATTGTTCTTGTCTCAAAACGATCCATTCTAGATGTTAGGAACTTGAAAATGAAGATCTGTATTTTCTAACACTTTTACTTTGTTTTAACAAAACACGCTTTATTGTTTTAATAAAATGTTTCAAGTGGAGTTACTTTGTTAGGTCTGCATGCAGAATAGGCAGTAAATTTCCCACAGATAAGTTTGTTTTTCTTTGTCACCAATGGTTATGTTCAGATAATACTATTAACTTTGCCCATAAAACAGTCACTCTGAACTGTATATGGTGAAAAGTTAAATCAGGGAATAAAAGATACTTCTATGTCAGATTCTGGGCAATATCCAGAAAAATAGTCAGTCACACACAATGCATGTACAGCATAGGTTATAAGCTCATACGGTATTTATTACTCTAAATGCAGTGGACTTAGGGGTTTAGTTTACTACTATACATTTACCATTTTAAGTGTAGGACAACTTGAAAAGAAAGATTATATTACAATAATGTCAAAGTTCTCCAATATCATAAGTTCCTCTCTGTCATAACATGGACTTCTAACAGGATCATACTGGTGCAGGAGATTAAGTATAATCAATTGTATAACTTGTATTTTATTTATTCCCAAATATCCTTATCATCCATATGTGGAACTTATTGGCAAAACTGAAGATGAAGAAATATTTAATGTGCCTTTCACAGAAACACAATCTGGGGAAACCAATTCTTGCAGTGGCAAACAGTTAACAAAATGTCTCTTTCCCCTTATTTTCCAGAGAGACGGTATTACAGATCTCGTTACAAACCCAATGGGCTAAGCATCTCTTCTCACACAGTGGCAACCCGGCAGGTCAGTGAGACCGCCTTGACACCCCTGACTGAACAGGAAGGTGAGGCTTACCTTGAGAAGTGTGGGAGCATCCGTCGGCATACAGTCGCCAATGCTCATTCTGATATCCAGCTGTTGGCCATGGCTTCCATTATGCACTCAGGCATGCTAGCAGAAGAACCAGACAATGGCGACCAGTGTCTCCTTTTGCAGCCCAGTTTGAACCACAGACAGTTTTCTAGTGAGCCCAGCATAGCAGACGGACCAGAAGAACTGGCCACCCCAGACATGGAGGAACCCACAGAACTGAACTGCACATCTGTCTGTTGAAACAGAGGAAAAGAACACTCCTGCACAGCAAAGCAAGCTGATGTTACTTTTCATGCTGCTTAGATCAAGAACTAGATCCACAGGGCACATCCTGAAGCTGATTGTGTTCTTAGGGCTCTAATATTATGAGGGTCCTTTCTGTGGACTACAAAGGTACAAAGTTGTTTCAACTGAAACTTTCCAGTGTTGTCTCAGAGCAATGGTTTCTCAGAGTTTGCTTTTCCAGCTAGGTTTTCATACTCTCAGTTGCATTCACTTTTTGTCCCATCCAGAGGGTGAATACTGTAATGCCAGTTTTATTTTGCCTTGCAGATTAGGGAGATGAACTCTATGTATTAGGGACAGGCAGTTATTTCTTCTCTCCTGCAATGTCTTGTGATAAACACAAGTTATAAAATCTTCAAGGTTGTTGCAGTGGTGCATTCCTTTGTAGGACATTCTCATTATCTGGTGTAGATTTAAATTATAAAAATAGGAACAGTAAAACTTCTTCCACTCTCTAGCATTAGAGCTGCTCAGAGTAACACATTCTAATCTGGGTGAATGAAATAAAATGAAAACAGTAGCCTAAAACAAAACTACTGTGGCTAGCATATTGTTTTGATGTTTTGAATGCAGTACATCTCAGGGATTATTCAAATTATTTTCAGAAAACTATTAAAAGCATTTTTAGGGAAGGCAACTTACTGCTTGCCAAAAACACCACCAGTGCTGAACTGGTCAGCAAGCAATAATGAATTTGAGCTACTGGAGAGATTACCTTCTATAAATTAGGGGTTGCTGGGTTTAAGACTGAAATACCTTTTATTAATAACAACAATGAAATAAATGTTGCTTTTGCATTAGTGCGGTGATAGCAGACAGAACCCCTTTGGCTGGTGGGAATAGCCTTTATTGTAGGAAACCCTTCAAAACCCTGCAAAAATTCTATACAGAACAGGGAATATTCACGACTGCCTTAATGATTGACTACTGCAAATATCAGGATCAAGTTAAATGAATTTTTTGGAACTGGTATAGTGATGCTGCCTTCAGACTGTTAGCTTCCATTTCTGGAAATATTTCCATACACCTTTGGAATCCAACCCATTATTTAATAAACAGGATAGAGAGAGAATATTTTAAGTTTTGTGGCTAGTTGTCTTCTTCCTGCAGGTCTCTTGATATTGATGGGGTAAGGGCCTTTAGTATCTAGAATTGATAGGGTTGGTTTTTTTAAAATCCAGTTTCCTAATATAATTTTCATATAGATAATGCTTCTTTGGCAGTGTTTCCCTTTTGATGGAAGTCATTAATAATCCAAGAAGAAGGCAAATTTCTACATATAGCTGCAGATAAAGGAGTGCTATTGGTGTCTTGGCATAATGCTACTGTAGCTTATTTAGATCTTCGAACGGTAAAAATAATTGCATTATGCAAAAATAAACAAACAAAAACAAACAGAATAAAATCTGTGTGGAGAATGTAGGATGTATGCTTTTCCTGCCAGCTCTAAGACTCCAAAATAAACATTTAACAAATGCTGCCCAGGTTCTATTGTGTTTGCAACTTTCTTCTCACAAAAAGTACAGTTAATTAGAAAAACAAAACACTTTTCTATGTATGCTGACCTGGAGCTCAACGTGTTTGGAAGATACAATGTTAGGAAAAACTCTTCTGCTTGAAAACAATAATTAGTTATTCCCAAAATCTGGTAGAAGTAGATATAAACCAAGCATCACACTATTTTTTGGTACAATAGAAAATAACCTGAATTTTGAGAAGGTGTCACAGTCAAGCTCACAACAAGGCTGCCATAAGGAGTATGGTCTATCAAAAATCACTCATTTTTAAGAAAATAAAACACCAGGAAGGAACTTCCAACAATTGCCAATTCGATTCAGAGCTTCGATCCAAGTTCAAAAACACCTTTCAGCTCATTGTTCTGATTCAACATCCAAATTATAGGTAGTTTGGCTGAAAAACTGAATGTAAGAGAGATGCATGGGCAGAGCCTTAATGTGAAATCATTTATTTATTTAACAGATGATCAAAAAATACAGACACCATGGCAAAGTATTCTCTTTCATGAAATAAATCACAGATAGGGCATACATATATAAAATCATAAAAACATAAACATTAAATTAAATTAAATTTAAAAAAAAAGCAAGCAAAAGAGATACAGGAAGTCCTTTCAGATATATTGGCTGTTAAGAAACAAAGCTGTGTTATCTTTATTTGATGTTTTCACATGAAACAGCTTTGAGGTGTTTTCATATATTTTCTCTTGTTTGCATATAGCCAAGATGGTAATGTAACCCTGCCTAACAAGTAGCTTCTCACTTTGTCAACCTTTCTTATTGCCTTAATTCTGTGTGCTAATGACCTTGGCTCCTTTCTCGGAAATTGTGATACAAAGAAGAAAAAAAAAGGCTGGGCAGGTAAGTCAGCAAGGGAGCAGGGTCCACCAGTAAAATAGCCATTTTAGCATGCATTATGTTCCCCATTGGAACCATCCCTGGTTAAAAATTTAGTAGTGAAATTAATCTCTATGAAAGACTCTAAAATAGAGGTAGGTGAATTGAGATCTGACTGGGAATTGCAGTATGGCATTTTTTTCACGACAGCAAGTTTCCCATCTGATTACAGATAAGTGCTGCCTGGCAAAATTTGGCAATACCAGGCCACATGGCCAAACATGACACTACCTTATACCAGATACCCAGAAAGACTGATAGATTTGCATTAGTATGCAACACGACTTTTACCTTTACCAAAAGTAGAAGACCTGGAATATGGAAATAAATAGTTGTATCTGAAGACATAACTTTGGGGTAAGTATAGCATTCAGCATTCAGAAAGGTTGAGATCACTTTCCCCTTTTCCAGAGTCTTCTGAAAGTCTACTGATCCTTGCCATTTATGATGTAGCCTGATCCCCAGTTAAGATTGTTTTAATAATATAATTTTATTAAACTTTATAAAATACCAAAGAAAATAAAAATTTTGGGGAAAGGGGAAAAGGGAGAGAAGTGTAGGATAAAGAAAAAAGAAAAATAAATACAATTCTTCAGCGCCCTAGAATGAACATGTTAGTCTGAACTATTTATTTTGTATACTGTTTATACTAACATTTTTATAGCAAAAAAACCAAAACCCAGTAAATTCCAAAGTCAAAGTTTCATTTTTTTTCTGTCTCATGCACAAAATCCAGAAGTAGCTTCCAGAATCAAAGTTAGATATATTTTCCCCTTTGATTAAAGCAGTTTTTTTTTTTTTAAAAAAAAGCAGTTAATTTGGCCATCTCCACTAGTTCCATCAGCTTCTCCAACCATTCTTCCATTGTGGGAATTAATATAGCTTACCATTTTTGTGCACAACAAAATCTCCTGCTGCCGATATCATAAAGTTCCATTTTTTAAAAAAAGTCCTTTGTACATTAAACAGTTAAGAATTAAGTTCAACTCCTAGAACCTAAAAGCATGACATATAATGCAGAAGCTTTGCCTGCTTTCAGTGAAACTGCCGTGGCTTTTTAAAATGCAGTCATTTTCTAAAAAGAAGCTCATTGCTCTATTAATTTTTAATATAGGTGGGGGGTTTCTTGTGTGTGTGTGTGTGTGTTTCAGTCAGTCTTGACTCCTGGCAACTACATGAACAAATCTCTGCCATTTTCATGGCAAGATTTTAGAGGTGGTTTTTCTTTGTGTTCTTCCTAGAGCTGAGAAAGAATGACTAGCCCAAGGTCACCCACTTGTTTCAAGGATTAGAACTCAGCCTTCAACCAAAAGAGCCAGGGTCTCCTGCTTTTTAGTCTGGTGCCTTAAGCACTACACCAGATTAGCTCTTAATGGTCGTTAATCAACTGCTACATAAAAATCTCTTGTTCTTACAAATAGCAGTAGAGACTATTCAGAGAAAAATAGCATGTAATCTTGTTTATTGCTGATTCAACTTATTGAAATAAGTTGAGGAGCCTGCATTGGCAGAAGAGTCCCACTGCAGACATTTGCTTTCTAAAGGGGCAGAATGACTATTGGTGAGGAAGATGTTTATTCTCAGCTAGGAAACATAGCTGGAATGCTAATAGAAACAGGTCAATTTACATGTAGTAAAACTTATCAGGCTATCTATATATGCAACTTTAGTAAATTCTTGGGTTTACTTATGCCATTTTTCAGCCACGTCACAGAGAATTCACAGCTTTTCTGGACATTTAATGGACATATTTGGAGATTTTTCTTAAAAAAAAAATATATTGGGCACATTCATCAAATTATTGTGCCAGTGAAAGCGCCTATCCATTGATCAAAGTGGCTGTTGCACCTGCTCTCAACTTCTTAATTTTTCATGTGACAAATAGGTAAGAAAAATAGGTTCCCCAAAAGCATTAGTCAGAGATGGTGTTCAAGTTCAAAAGTAGCAAGAATTCACAATTTTCTTACTCTATTTCACAGAAGGCAATATGTGTTAAGAAAAAAGTAATTTGACTAAGAAATAAATTGAGATCGGTCACTAAGGCACAACACAAGTCTCCATAAAGACAGGCTAACAATGCTCAGCATATAAATGCAAACCAAATACTTGAATAATACTATTTAGCACTTAGAAAGACAAAACACATTTCTTAGTCTTCCAAATTTTTACCCGTTATCATTAACTCTTTCTACATTCTATATCTGAGAATGCTTCACACAAAAATACAGGGCTGTGTAATAACATAACTCTTGGAATCTATATTCTTGAAAATGAAATTGTACTGTAAAGAAATCATTAAGGTATGGGATCTATTTAGTATCAAAGGAAGTATCTATAAACACATTGCTATTCATGGGAACTCCAACATGTACCATTAGGATATCATTTTATGCATGTAATATATATCCCTAAATAAACCAACTTAATAATAATAAAGTTGGAAGAGACCTTGGAGGTCATCTAGTCCAACCTTCTGCTCAGGCAGGAAACCCTATCCGTTTCAAACAAATGGCTGTCCAGTCTCTTCTTAAAAACTTCCAGTGTTGGAGCATTCACAGCTTCTGGAGGCAGGTTGTTCCACTGATTAATTGTTCTGTCAGAAAATTTCTCCTTAGTTCTAGGTTGCTTCTTTCTTTGGTTAGTTTCCATCTGTTGTTTCTTGTCCTGCCTTCAGGTGCTTTGGAGAATAGCTTGACTCCCTCTTCTTATCAATTTTAAAGTTTTTATTTGTGGACCAAAGCAAACTATTTAGGGAGGATCCCTTTCATATGCTAATAACCTTACAGATTCTGGATTTCCAAAACTATCCCTCACCAACCAGCTTGTTGTGGAAAGCTGACTAGCATAATGCCCAGACGGGAGAGCCTAGCAGTTCCTTTTGCAAATCTTTTCAGTTGTTGTTCCTCCTAATCTAGAGAAGCTGATGTTTTTGCTAGATAAAATGATAGCCTATACCAAGGCTTTTCAACCAGTAGTATCGGTACCACCTATGGTACATTGGCACTTGGCAGGTGGTACGCGACCATCCTAGAAAAGTAGCGGGGGAGGGGAATGAGCTGAACCGGTGGCAGCACCACACAAGCCTGAGCGAGATGGCTGGAGCTGCAGGGCTGTCAAGGCTCAGTGGAAGCGCCAGGAACAGTGCCGCTTTCCAGCTGATCAGCGTTTCTTCGGGGCTGTCAGGGCTGAGTGGAAGCGCCAGGTTCAGTGCCAAGTTCCAGCTGGAGCTCCTGGCGCTTCTGCTGAGCCCAGAAGAAGCGCTGATCAGCTGGAATGTTGCAGCATCTCCAAGGTCTTGTGATTTACATTCGGATGCTTGGCAACTGATTCATATTTATGATGGTCACAGTGTCCTAGGATCATGTGAAGTGACCAAAACCTGCTGCAACCACCCAGCAGACAGGGGGAATAAAAACCAAATACCTCCCCACCCCACCCCTGCTGCCAATCCTCAACAGAAATGCTCACAACAATGAAAACCTCGGACAGGAGGAAGAGTGCGGTCGGGTGGGCAGGCAGGTGTCTTCCTTAGCTGTGGCTTGGGGGGCACTTTTTCAGTGCCATTGTAACTTCGAACAGTCACTAAGCGAACTGTTGTAAGTCGAGGACTACCTGTACTTTATCACCTTTTCCCTTTTTTTGGGTCATCAAGTTTTTGACACCTTGCTAGGCGACTGGTGGTACTTGGATTTTGCCATATCCTAAAAGTGGTACAATGGGTGAAAAGGTTTTTTGAAAAGCCCTGGCCTATACTCCAGCTAAATCTAGAACCCATTTTGTATTTTTTAAAAAAGTGGCAGTACCTTGGTGATTTTGGTCAATCTCAGCAAGCTAAGCAGGATCAGACATGATTACTACTTGAATGGGAGTTTGCCAGAAAACCACAGAGCTGCGGGCTACCTTAGGAAGTTGGAAAATCCCTTCGGAATAAATATTTTTCAAACCATTCTAATTGAGGTAACTGAAATGTTCATGGGCTTGCTCAGACTTGGAATAGAAGCAGGTGAGATGGGTTTGGGAATCAGAGGAAGATGCTTCTTCCAAGGGTTTGGCTGAAAGGCATTAGAAATGGAATCTAACTTGGCAACAGCTGCATTCTTTATTCTGTTGAATATATTTTTAGTGACTTTCACTTTTTCTTTAAAACACAATTTGCGCTAGATTTAAGTTTCTATTAAAAAGGTGATGAGGAGTTGCTATTGACAGTTCCCGTAAACACTCACAATTTATTTAAGAGATTGTTTCTTTGTGGCTGTGATGCTTACTTATAGACTCAGTAGCTGATTTTCCATTTAGTATTTATCATTCGTTTAGATTGTGCAATCTCAACATAAAAAGAAAGCACTAAAATCTAACTACTTGGCAAGTGCTGCAAGGGAAAATTTCATGGTTTAGAGTGTGTGTTTAGTTAAACAGGTCTGCAATTGGGCCAGTGAGCAGAATTTTAAAATCTTCGTCTTACCAATGACTAAAAGCACCTTCCAAAGCTCTTGAAAGCCCTTATTTTGAAACAGCAGTGTTGAACTTAATGCAGTAGAGTAATGCTGCCCCTTGGTGGCCACTTTAATCAAAGACATGCTCGTGAAAAAAAGTTGGCTCAAGCTCTTTTAGTATTTAGAACACTCATTTAATATATATTCAGAAGCATAAGTTAAATGGGGCACTAGTAATAACTTACTAACTATATGAAGCCAACCTTGATAGGTCTTCAAGAGCTTGAGACAAAGTCAAGACTGGATCTCCTAGCAAGAGGGGGCGTGTCAAGTTTGGCTACTTGGTCTCAAGAGCAGGCAGACAGTGAAAACCCATTGGTGGATTCTCCATCTCCTGTACTGGAGAAGCCCTTATTTTGAAACAGCAGTGTTGAATTTAATGTAGTAGAGTAATGCTGCCCCTTGATGGCCACTTTAATCAAAGACATGCTCATGAAAAAAAGTTGGCTCAAGCTCTTTTAGTATTTAGAACACTCATTTAATATATATTCAGAAGCATAAGTTAAATGGGGCACTAGTAATAACTTACTAACTATATGAAATTAGTTAATTATACTTAAGCACATGAACAAAGCCAGTGTGCAACATGCACATAGGAGAAATATCTGGAATGTATGGCATTAATGTGCTACACTTAACACAGGCATACGTAAGACAGGAAGCCATGCTCAGATTTGTTGAATGCTACCTTATTTAATGTCTTGAAATAAGGAGTTTTCATCATGATTTTTTATTTTGGAAAACCCAACATTTCTGAGCAGTTACAAATTGTTCATTTTCTCAAACAGAGATACTGATGTGCAAGGCAAGCAATATTTTCAGTAGCCACTAGGCCTGAAAAAGTTTTGTAACCATACAGGTGACAGTTAAGCATTTAGAAACACCACAGCAGATGGTTCTCCTGTTAATAAACTACTGCTGAATTCACAATTCCTATTAATGGCAGCCAAATGAACTACAATTGGGGAAGGGTTGCAGTCCACTGGAAATTTATGCTCATCCCTATAATGCAGCATCGAAACACTGCACATTCCACTCAACAGCATAAAACAGTTTTTGCTATTTTGTTTTACTCAGCAGACTCAAATGTGCTTTATTATAAGCAAGCAAGAAATGCCCCAATTTCTCCAGGACTTCCTCTTGTGTTCAAAACAGGAAGAGGAAAATCATGAGCACATGTGCATTAAAGAAATCAAGTTGAGCTGCTATGCAAATGACAAACTAATTGCTAAAGTTAATGTCTTTTACCCATCCAACCACATTTTTGAAAACTTTGTTCCATCTGTTATTGACAGCCAAACTGTAACAAACACATTGACAGTTTTTGTATATATAATTCACAGATTTTTATGGAACAGTTATATGAAAAGATAAAGCAAAACATTATACATTTTTAAAAATAGTCTGCTGACTGGGGACATTACATAAAACGGTGATCCAGAAGACTTCCTTGAAGTTGTCCATGTTTTGTTACTTCTGATATTTTGCCTATGAATGTTACAAAAACAGTTTTCTGTGACTTGTACTTGGGTGTTACATTAATGCATTTATTACACAATGTATTTTTGTTAAATATTGAGGCATTGGCAACATTGATAGTATGTAATATTTTAGTGTGCCATTGTTACTAGCATTTTAATTTACTGGATAATGTCACAGCATTAGTTCATTTAAGGCAGAAACCCTGCATTTTAATTCAAATAGTTTCCCCCCCCCCCTTGTAGTTCACTTTTATGTTTGCATTGGGTGCCTGGTTCAACATATATGACAAAACCTGACATTTCAATGAAACAGAAAACCATTTTCCAATCTTTTATTTAAAAAATATTACTACTGTTATTGGCCAGGGCTGATGGGAACTGGAATTTAAGACAGCTAGAAGCCTGTGAGTTACTTGCTTCTCCACTCCATACATATGAACTAGTGACCTATAGTTTATGAAAGCTTATGCCTTTTAATGAAATTTGTTAGATTAAAAAAGTGCATCCAGCTTCCAATTTTTTCTCCTAATTATATGGCAGAATATAAAACATTGAATAAAAACAGTAGCATACTGCACAGATAAGCACAATATATACAATGAAAAGGGACGGGGAGCTGGTAATAAGGAAGCTAAAAACCAAGTAATTACAAATAAAGGGATATCTTAAGAGATGGATTAGACCTTATTGATGTTTAGTAGCAATGAATTCAAAAATTAGGGCTCAAAATATTTTGAATAAAAAAGCAGGATAAAACAGAAGTTAAAATATTGCTAGTGATGGAAAATAAAATTAGTTTAAATAATAGACAAAAAGTACCAATACTTTAGATAGCGAACTTGTCATGTATTCAACAATTTTTAAATAAAAGGTGAGACTGCAATCCTGTATTTCATTATCTGAACGTGTACTCAGGTGGACTTAATAGTTGTCCATAAGATTACCTGAAGCTGAAATAAGCCCATATATGATAATTAGTTCCTATCTTTATTTTATCGGAGAAGGACTTATAACAATCTGAAATAGCAATTGACAAAAAGAGAATATACAATCTACTAATTTATTAACTAAATGGAATACTATTCTTTAAAGGTTAATGCTTATTACAATAAATTACTATTCATATCCACGTGCCCTGCAAAATTGGAATTTTTTCTGTCAAAATAGCATTGTAAACATGCAGTAAATTGATACAATGTAATACATAATACTTCTCTATATAAAAATATCTAAAGATGCCAGCATTCTTTTTCTTAGCTTACTAGAAGATAGTTAGAAATAAGTTTCAATGAGTGACATTTGCTTTTGGATAAGTAAATGAAATATATCACACTAAGAGTTACTATTTCATCAAAAATGACATCCTATAATTAGACCAAGTTTAAATAAAGAATAATCTACACTGTTCTTTTTCATTAAAAAAGCATGAGAACAGAAAATTATATGGTACAAATGAGTATTTATAAAGATTTGTATTCTGAATAGACAAGCAATTGTTTGAAATAATGCACATTTTCAATGCCTGCATGGAGTGGGAGTTTAGAAAAAGTAAAGTCACTTTTTGCTTCTCAGATAAGCTTCTCTTCTATAAAAATGTAGAATAGGTAACTTTAAGTGTTACACTCCCATAATACTTTATTTCACTCCCAAATGCTGGGAAATGTTTGGTTCAAATAAGCTTTGCTTCCATTCATGTCTTTTCATAGGCAGTGTTCTGACAGATGCCTTCAAAGTTGACAGATCAATTCAAAATTTGAGAGCTTTTCTGTGATTGCTTCATTGCTGTGTAGCTTTTATTTGTTTTGGAAGGTAAGAACCACACTAAAGAAAGATTACGCTATCATAGAGCTACAGGTTTACTGTCATATGTTCTTATGGAGTAGTAGTGCAGATCTGGTTTGGTTAACTATTGTCACCAGTACTATTTATATCAGTATTTCTTTTTTCAAAGTAAAGATACAGCTGCTTTGATTATTTTTCTTTCACACATCAGAGCCACACTTTCATCCTTTAATTAACTTTGGTCGGGACTCCACATTTTTGCTCTCATGTCACACAAGCGTTATCAAGAGCGCTTTCACCAAAATTATCCTATTGGCACCAATGAATTTTGACCAGAGGTTTACAATTTGCACTAATAGTAAGTTTTTTGCAACAAAGTAATACATTTCTACATAAGATTGTTGTGCGCAAAAATAAAATGTTACAGCTTTGCTCAGATCAGCCAATCTGAAGCTGGGTAAAAATCACATTCTTGAGAATTGTAACACCTAGGCTGAATATGTCAGCAAAACACTGCAGAATGTAAGCCTAAGCCTATACCAAATCACCTTTAAAAGAAGGGGAATTCCCTTTAAGGCTAACAGTTTGCAACAGTGCTTCCAGGTTAAAAATGAAACATGTCTAACATTTGTAGCAGTGTCACAGTTAAAACTTATCATCACAAGTGCAAAACAAAAACGCCACAGGGCAAGAGATAGGAATAAGGAATAAGTAGTGCAAATGACATAGTGACACACGGAAACATCAGTCAAGGATACCTCAAGTTTTCACCAGTCATCAGGGCAAAGATGTCCTGAGGCAATCAGGTTGATGCCTCATTAAGCTTCTGCAGTGAGCTTTTAGATACATCAAACATAATTTATCACTATGTTAAACAGTAGCTGAGAATGGATTAACGCTAAATTCTCTGGGAAGGGAATGCAAGAAAGAAGTCGTCATTCCAAATCTACCAAGATATGAGTATTGACTTTCTTGCTTTAATGATAAAGAGCATTAAGCAATTATGCATATTGTCACACAGGTAATCCTCTACACATTACCACAACTGGGATTCAGAACTTCAGGTCCCAACTACTAAATGATGCAATTGTTAAGCAAGTCATCACATGCCAGACCTGATTTTACAGCCATTTTTACTGCTATTAAGTGGATCAAGTTGTTTACGTGAACCACATGGTCATTAAAATGAACCCAGCTTCTTCAATTGACTTTGCCCATCAGGAGCCAGCTAGGAAGGTTGTGCCACTACAAGACATTGCAACCAATTTAAATATGAAACAGGTGCCAAGCAGGTGAATTGCAATCAAGTGACCGAAGGAGTGGTACAATTGTCGCAATTTTGAGGATAGGCTTTAAGTCACAAACTACCCATAATATCTCACAATTTAGCCCTAATTTATTAGCTTATATAGTCAATTCATAGAATCTTAGGAATTCTATGGAATACATTGGAAGGTAGCTTGGAGTTTTTATAATCTAACCCCCCCCCCTTCCCCAGGGCAGGAATCATTTCAGACCTTGAGCATGTCTTTGGAGGTGTCTCCTCCTAGCTTTGTGCCATTTGCAAACTTGTTAAGTTTCTCTTGCATCCTTTTCTCTAAGTAATTTATAAAAATGTTGAAGTATTCTCGGCCCGAGACAGAACCATGAGATATCCCACTATATATTTGCCTCTATATAGACATATTTCACAATTTAACCTCTGAGATCCAAAGTTTATAGCTGCATCTGTCAATCTTCTAATGTCAAATAACAATAGAATTTGGCCAATTCCTCACTGTACAATAAGACACTTTGTTTTAATCAAATTTTTAACACACGTGTCAGCTATTGATTAATAGTCAGTTATCCAGCTCATCAAAAAGAAGAACAGAGTGCACTAGATATATATTTTCTTCTTACGAAAGAAGAATGATTTCCCTTTCCTAAAAAGCATACTATTTCCCAAGAGTGGCAGTCTAACTTCTGCTTCAAAGATCTGTGATTTTTATGAATCTCACCCTTCATTTACAGTTCTGCAGATTCTTCATATAATAAGATAGAAAAGCATCTGCCACAAGTGAAAGATTTTTTCATATAGTAAAAAAGGCATAAAATGCATATTTATTATTGTTGCCTTTCTAGTCCTAAGGAGGAAGAATCAGAAGTTTGCTCTGAAGTTAAGATCACGACTTTTTTCTTTTTGAAATAGGAACATCATTTGCTCCCCTTTAGGGAGCCAAATAATTTAAACCAAGCTTGGTTTTCATAATAACATAACAATCAAAATTGGACAACAGGCTATTATGTTCCATCTGTACTACGAGGCTGAAAACCCTCTCTTCGGAGACTGGTTAAGTCCAGACGTGTTAAAACTTCACAGCGTACCAAGAGAATATCATCTTTTATGTATGTTCTTTGTTTTAGGGCTTGCAACTGCATAAAAGTGACATATCCAAAGCCCTTTGGATTACGAGGGGCCATAGGGCGTTGGAAGGCTAGCAACTCAGGCTTGGTATCCATTACTTCTTCGTGGTTATGCCTTGGAGATCCTTCAGACTGATCCAAAATTGATAGACGTATGGTGCCTTGGAAAGGCCAAGGGAGATGACTGTCATAGTCGCCTTGCATGGTGTGAACAAAAAGAGAAATGTAGTTAGCACAACGCTGAGCGCTTGGTAACTGGATATGCAGACGCAAGCAAAGTTTATATCCTGGTTTCCCTGTGTAGAAACCTGGACTATGGATCACAACAGGTCTTTCTTCCTCCTGAGCTTTCAGATATGCACTGAAATTTTCAATTTTCCACAGGAAAATACCACTACATTGTTGGGATTCAATGTCAGCAATTTTTTCCTCTAGCGTTCGGATGGTGCGTTTGAGATCTCCCATCTGGTTCTGTTGTGTCTCCATTTTTGCAATGAGTTCTCTAATTTGGTGATCTTGTCTTACCAAACGACCTTCCAGTTGCTGAATAGTCTCCTTGAAGTTCTGGACCTCTGGGCTACACTCACACGAGGGTGGCATGCCTTGAGAGAAGAGTGATGGGTCAAAGGGTAAAGTTCCAGAAAAATTCATGGAAGTTGGAGTAGTAACGCTGACACTACGAAGAGTGTGAGCCATCATTCTCATATGAACCTGAGTAAATTCCTGCATGTGGCATGCTAAAGCATTTCTCTGCATCTGCAATTAGACAAAAGTGAATACAACTCTATTTCTTTTGAGTAAAATCAAGGACTGAGTCTTAACGGAGAAGGGAAAATACTGCATTAAAAAAGAAGTAGCTTTATTGTTTAATATTAGCTGAAACAAACAAGAATAAACTGAACAAAACTGAACTATTAATATTGTAGAAATTTCAAATGCTCAGAAGCAGATCAAGGTCTATGCAAATCCTTAGATGTAAAACAAAATATTTTAGCTACTTAGAATAGCATCATTATTACTAATCATTAATGTAATATTTGAACTATGTCATATTGTACAGTAAACAGTATTTTTAGAGCTTGTTTTGAAAATTTATATTTTATAAGAATGTAACCCATCATACTAAAAATAACTTTCTAACATTAATGATTGGGCAAATAGATACGAAAATATGAAGTCTGAGAGGAGTATTTTTCTGATTTAAGTATAGGAAGAACATAATCAGTGTATAATCTTTTCTCTATGTTTATTTTTTTAAAATAAACATTTGAATAAACATTCTCACATGAAAATATAAAGATTAGAAAACAGCAGCTTAAGATGAGAAGCTGAAAAATATTTATGCAATTTAAAAAATCTGCAAAATTATAAAAATATACTGAAATCTTTTATTTTCATCTTTACAGATCTACATTCTTCTTTTTTTTATAACTAAAGCAAGAAATATTTTGCTTAATTATGAAAATATTTTTCTGCTATTACTCTTTTTTCTTTTAAAAAGTCATCGTACCGAGATATTCTACAGAATTCATTTACCAAATTTTTCCAGAACTTATTAATTAATCTCCATTTTAGAATAATTACCAAATTCCACTCCAATAAATTAGTAAATTGAGATTGATTACACATACACACACACACACGCAAGCGCGTGCATGCGGAGGGAGGGAGGGAGAGAGAGAGAGAGAGAAAGATCGAAGATATATATTTTACAAATATCATTTGTTATGTATGTCTTTTTATTTGGCTTTATTTTTACATTAGTATATACTCTAATCTTGGAATAAGTTAAATTTCAACCAGAAGCCCTACAGAATGTGTTGTGCTACAATTCCTAATCAGCAATGACTAGTTAGAATCCTGGTTATAATTTTGGATGTTATAGTCTAATGTTATTTGGAAGTTTCCCAGCTGGACAAAGTCATATAAAGCCGGAACGACAAGCTTGTTCTTCTGAAATAAATATGAGATTTAAATTCTATATGTGCTATCCAACATTCAGTAGCTCAAGGTATTTCACAGCATGACTGAAAAGCTCCTTTCCCTCCCCCCCACATGGAATCTACTCCATCCTGCAAATTTTATCTACAATGAATTATTACACAAGAAGAAATTAATAATTCAGAACAAAAAAACTACCATATTGGTTGGAAAGAAACTAAAAAACCCGAGCAAACAGTAATTGGACTTCCCACTAAATGAAAGCAAATTACTTTCACATTAGCAATTACAGAATTATCTCATTCCATGGAAGAATCAAAATAAATTCTGAATTGATTTTCTGGAAAGACAGACTTTTTCTACCTAGAGGCTGGATTGAAAAATGGACTACATTTTGGCCATCATATATACCTGAATAAACAAAGACATTTTTCTCCCTCCAAGGCTCCATGTCAGCCCCAGCCTTCTTCCTCCTCTGCTGATGAGGTATGCCTAGTCCTATGCAAGGCAGCTGATTGTCGTGCCATGACTTCTTCCCAAGACTATATGTTGTCCTCCAAATTGTGCAATGTTTCTCATGATGCTTCTGAGGCCTCCCAAAAGCTTGTAAGAAGCCCTTATGCAAGCCTCCAAATCACACACTGCCTTATCACAATGCTTCTGAGGCCTTCCAAAACATTGCAAAAAGGCAGTGTGCGATCTGGAGAAGCATGCAAGTGGCCTCAGTAAGAAGGCCTGATGCGGCCAGGAGGTGCCACATATAGGGTGAAGCTGGATGCACTTTATCAGCAGCAGGAAAAACACAACAGAGAAGTTCAGCCTGGGAATAGCAGGCTCTGCAGAGCACAGAGAGTTGAGGGGCTAGGGGGCTGTACCAGGGCAGCTGACCACGATACTTGAGGTGGCTCTCGGTAGCAGTAGTGTCACCACTGGCATTGGGGTGGAAGTTGAGGCCCAGAGTTGGTGGTGGCTGACTGAGACTTCTGAAGGCCTTGAGCTTCTAAGCCGAGGTGGCGCAGCAGTTAGAGTGCAGTACTCTAACTGCTGGTCAGTGGTTCAAATCTCACCGGCTCAAGGTTGACTCAGCCTTCCATCCTTCCGGGGTAGGTAAAATGAGGACCCAGATTGTTGGGGGCAATGTAAATATACACCGCTTAGAGAGTGCTTGCACTTAAAGCGGTATATAAGTCTCATAAAATAAATAAATAAATAAATAATTCAGCCCTAGCACTGCCACTGCTACCGAGGAGTGCCATTGCACAGAGCAGCCAAAAAGGCACAAATGGCGGGAGATAGGTGCGTATAGTGGAGTTGAGGCACCCCTGAGGTCATAATTGTGGACTGTCAAGCTTCTAAATTTGGATCATATGACCATAGGGGTGCTGCAACAGCTGTATCTTCGGGACCGGGTGAAGTACCATTTGTTCAGTGCCACCATAACTTTGAAAGATCATTCAACAAATGGTTGTTAAACAGGCACTACTGTAGCTGTAGAAAGGTATCATATTGAAATTCTCTTAGTTCTCTGGGAAAAAAATGAGAGACTTGCCTCCCAAATGCAAAATGTGTAGCCACTGTTAGGTTTCAGGTTTAAGCAAAAAAGAAAAACATTAGTCAACTGAAAACTTCCTAGTTTATATGATAATTGGGACGAATCTATAAGTAAACAGACTACATTTGAACAAATTGTTCATGTCTCTATTTAGTAAGTAAAGATCTTGTCCAAACTTATTCATGATATCACAGAGGTTCTAAAGTATTTCAAGTGCTGTCAATAATGTTCCCAAACATTAAATGTTTAAATCTTCTCTATCCACTTGCACACATGTATATTAAATTTTTAGGACTCAGTAGTGCCTTTAAATTTATGAGCATTCTGTTCATTAAAATATAAGATGAATATTTTCCCTGTCTGATTGTGTCCAGCTCTAGGGGGTGGTGCTCATCTTGTTTCTTAGCTGAGGGAGCCAGCGTTGTCCCAAGACATTTCTGTGGTCATGTGGCCACATAGCTATATGCCAAGAAACATGGAATGCTGTTACCTTCCCATTGAAGTGGTACTTATTTATCTACTTGCATTTGCTTACTTTTGAACTGCTAGCACAGGGGTAGGCAACCTTGGCTCTTTTACGACTTGTGGACTTCAACTCCCAGAATTCCTATTCTGGGAGTTGAAGTCCACAAGTCATAAAAGAGCCAAGGTTGTCTACCCCTGTGCTAGGTGAACAGGAGCTGGAGCAAGTAATTGGAGCTCATCCTATCGTCCTGTGCTCAGGTCTTGAACGGGACTGTCAGCTTTCCAGTTGACAAACTCAGCATCTTTAATCACTGAGCCATCATGCCCTCCCCATTAATATATATCAGTGATGGCGAACTTTTTAGAGACCAAGTGCCCAAACCGCAACCCAAAACCCATTTATTTATCGCAAAGTGCCAGGGCTGCATCAGCATTGTGGTGCCCTTGGGGGGGTGGAGGGAAGCGCCTCTGAGTGTCGCCTCTGGCACGCAAAAACGGCGGTGCAAAAATGGGCCACCGTGCTGCAAGGCGCAAAAACGGCCGTCCCCGCACTGTGGGCTGCAGATACAAGGCGCTGCATGACGCAAGAACAGGGCAGGGCTAGTGAGTATCACGCAGGCACTAGCCTCACCCCATTTGCAGTACAAAATGCTTCCCCTTCCCTTTTCTCCCAGTCCAAAAATGGTTGGTGACTTCTGCTCTACCATCTCTACTCGAGCTTGCTAGTCGGCCACTTCGCCTCCTTTGTGCTGGGTGGGGCTTCTGCTCCTGCTGGTGGTGGTAGTGCGCGTGCCAACAGAGAGGGCTCTGAGTGCCACCTCTGGCACACATGCCATAGGTTCGCCACCACTAATATATATAATGGGCAATGTTTTATATATTACATTAATTTATATAAAAAAAACTTCTTTGGGTGCTGTTATTAAAATATGTGAACTTTAACGAAGTAACAAACTTTTGTCATATAAATGCTGAAGTTGCTTCCCTAAATTTTCTTTGTCTCAGGGCTAACCAAACAATCAAAATGAGTTCATTCTTTATACATTTTACATTAATTATATTATCTGACAAATATTTTTCTAAGGTCAACAAATATATGCATGTATAAAACTAATTTAAATTACCTTTTCTAGACATCCAAATGCACTATAGGTACATGGTACTGGAGCAGTAGGGCAGTCATTATCATAATGGTTAGGCAGCTATAAAAAGAAAAAAGAATGATCTGTAATTTCCAGAAATCCTACACTAAAAAGTAAATATGTGTCATTATACCATTTATTAAATAATATTACTTTCTAGTGAGAAAAGTTGGAAATTCATAGCAAATATGATATCTTTTATTTGTCTAAATTTTTATGCTCAGATTCAGATCATTTTCCAGGCATCAAATCAAATAACAATTAAAAAGCAGTGCCATTAATACTGTAAAGATCAGTAGCATTATACTCCACTGAAATTGTATTATATTAATTGCAATACTTCTAGATGGTATTGGCAAAGGTTTAAATAAATAATTCTGTATTTTCCTTTTGGATGACAAGACCTAATTAGCCAAGTTTTGATAAAACTGATAAGCTTTGCAAACATCTTAAAATGAATCCTAGGATTAATTATCTATCCTATTTTACATTGCCTACAATATGAGTTGTACTTTAAAAAAATGATTCAATTTCTATTCAATTTAGCTGCCAGATTTGTTACTGTAAAGCAATGTAAAACAAAACTTTCAAAGTGTAGAAAATTGCATTGATAAAAAGTTAATTCTGCAATGAAAAGAAAGCTTAGACAAATATTTTAGATTACAAATCTTACACACCTTATACTAAGCAGATAATATCTACAGAAAGAATACTTTAGAGTGACTTTCACAAATTGCTTTTCCCAAGAAGGCTATCTCTGTGGCCGCTCTTAAATTTTTACAAAAAGATATATGTACACCATTTATACCATCAATATTGTAGTATTATTAATCTTTTCAGACATTAGATCTTACCTTGATCTGATTCTATCTAAAAATATCCGTGTTACCAAATTTAAGCTTTGTTTTTCCTTACCAGTTTATTATTATGTTTATAACAAGCAAATATATTATTTATTTGTAACTGTCACATTAGGATATTTTTTTTAAAAAAATTGTCACCTCCTATTTTACAGTGTTCCCCACTTTCAAAATCTTTCCTCTACTATAACTTAAAAATGTCAAAAACATTAAACTAAAAATCAAGAAAAAAGGACAAAAACATATTATAAACAATAGAAAAAAAACCACTTAGGATAATAACTAAGCATCAAACTTTTTAGTAAAGTCATTTTTAACAATTTAATTTAGTTGATATTTTGAGTCAGATCAAGGTAAGATCTAATGTCTGAAAAGATTAATAATACTACAATACTGATGGTATAAATGGTGTACATATAATTCGTTGTAAAAATTTAAGCGAGGCCACAGAGATAGCCTTCCTGGGAAAAGCATTTTGTGAAAGTCACTCTAAAGTATTCTTTCTGTAGATATTATCTGCTTAGTATAAGATGAAGAGACTCAGGTCCCAAGATATTTGTGCCTATACAGACATAAAAAAAGGCTTTTGAATCTAATTATAATATAGATCTATATTATAATTGCTCAATAAGAAAATACTTTGATGGATAAAAACACAAGATAATGTTCCTCCCTAGCATTTAACTCTATGTAACAGTTCACACTATCCTTTTATGTCTCATAATAATGATGACTGTCAGAGCTGTAACTTATCAATTTGTTTATTATACTTTGAGCAAAGTAATAAATAAAAAGCAAACAAAATATGTCCTTTTACCTGTTCTCTGATTAGCATTGTATTACAATATTGACAGAAGACATTTGCCAAAAGGCATATTTCGTCATGAACCTTTATTTTAGTGAAAGAAAAAGAAAATTAGTTTGTCATGGAAAGGGAAATGATACATAATTAGGACTATTAGATGGTTTACAATCTAGGATACATCTTTTCTCAGTCACAATTTCAGAAGATTGTCTGGCTGCATGAGAACAAGAGTGTGGTTTCCCTTGGTGTAGCTCATGTCAATGCTGCTAGGTAAGGCTCTCACACTTTTTTCTCTACTGCCATGGTTGTGTATAGCTGTGTTGAGACATTTGACAAAAAAAATAACAATTCTATAGTGTTATCCACAACGGAATATGCAGTTAATGAGGAATGAGTATAGTTTATGTGCAATTATTATACAGGTAGTCCTTGATTTATAGCCATAATGAAGACCGCCCATTACAATGGTAAATTGTGATGACCATAAAGTGGGTCACGCACATCACTTTTTTTGCCATGATCATTAAGCTAACCTGGCAGTTGCTGAGTACACCAATTGCAAAGCAAACCCAGGATTCATAATGGTCTATTTTTGCTGAAAACCAAAAATTGCGAGTTTTCAGTAAAAACATCATAAAATATGGTCACAGTTATAAATGCAAGCCTGTTGCTGAACCCCTGATATGTGGCAAGGCCCTTCTATCAGAACTTCGGAACCAGGTTGTAAGTAGCTCTAGGGAGGTCTGCTGTAACTTTGAATGGTCACTAAGCGACTGGTTGAAAGTTAAGGACTACCTTTATAATTATTTTAAAAGTAAATAGTAAAACAAATATTTTGTTCAAATTGTACAGGACATGATTGAACAGAAGGAAAAAAAGCTCTATAACATCTGCTCTGACACCTATAAATACTAGTCTACATCCAATATTCTTTAGATCAGGGGTCCCCACCGGGTCACGCGAGTGCACATGTGATTGTGGGCACACACAGCCCCACTTGCGCAAGCGTTGCCATGAGCGTCACAGGCAGTGGCGGCCCCTCGCGTTTGTGGCCCCACCTGTGCGAGTGGTACTGCAAATGCTTGTGACGATGCTCACGCAAGTGTCACTACAAGTGATTGCAGCCCCTCGTGAGTGTTGTCATGGGTGTTTGCAACCCCATTCATTCGAGGAATGAGTATTTGCACGTGTGTATGTACATATTCACCCCACACACAAAACCATCCCTTCTTTTCCCCCCCCCCCAGGCCGCCAATCCCGAAAGATTGGGGAACTCTGACCTAGATAGAGTTTTCATTGTTCTCTAAATCAAAATAATGAACAGGCAGAACTGGAGAAGGAGCAATCATTACCACAGAAAGATGTGATTACCTCAGAGGACTGAGGAATAAAATACTCCATTTTATGGAGTATACCATTTTATATGAGACAACAGAAAGCAACTTGGAAATAATCAATGCATTATTAAAATAAGTTTATTAAATTAGTATAAATATATAACAGTTCTATTTTGCATTATACCTTTTTTTCTTCGTAAGGCATACACATGGCACAATTTGGACAGGCAATTTGCCGTCGTGGACATTCTAGCCTAATATGTTCTTGCAACTGGTTCTTCTGGAAAATCTCTTGACACAGAGAACATTTTTCTGATGCAAATCCACAGTGTATCTGGTGGTCCTGGGAAAAAGCCATCAGAAGAACAGGGACCAAAAACAAAACAAAACTGTTGATTTTGTTACATAATTCTTGAAAATACAAAGTTTGACCCTAATTGTAATATTAGCAGACAGAAACATTACTGGTAACTATAGCTTTAACAACCATACAAGTAAAGATATACAAATGGTTTCATATGGTTTTCTCAATGATGTTATGGAAATATTGTGATACTTAGTGACCCACAATCTATTTTTTTCATTTAAAAGCAACCTATATTACAAAATCAATGGTAAACGTAAATATAACAAATATTATTACCTGCTGCAGCAGAAGGAAAAACTTGTGAGTGAGCAGCTGAAATCCACCTATGTAGTACTCGTAAGGGCATGTTGTTCAGCCTTAATGTTATTACAGGTAGTTCTTAGTTACCAACTCCTTTGCTGACTTCTGATCAGCAAAGTTAATAGAGAAGTCAGCAGGAAATTGAAAAGGGCAGCCGTGAGGTCCTCACCCACAGTGATTTGGGAGTGCCAGAATTGTTGTCGCTAAGCAGTACAATTTTGTGACACTGCACTTTTTGACTGTCGCTTAGTGATGGCAATTCCAACCCAATTAATACTATAACTGAGGACTATCTGTAACTTATTCAAACATAATAAATTTAGCCCCAGTTTCAAGGAAAGAATCATAATTACCTTACTTCCTTTTATCCATTTTTTCAAGAATTGTTGCTTTGCATATCCTAAGTATTTCTTTATATATGTCCTAAATATACTGATCAGAATAGTATAGAATTAAACATTAGTTCTTAGACAAGATACACATTAAAACGTACCTCTAAGTGCCTTAGCTCCAACTTTTGACTGCAGCCCTTGTTGGGACATTTCACTGTCAATGAGAGGATTTCACGTTTTGCAAAATTATCAGGGAAGAGTTGATTTTCTAGTAAGATTTCATTGTCTATTGGACATTTATGACCTGCATCTCTGTCAAAAAGAAACAATATGTACTGTATGTATATATCTATGCATCTATGCATGTATGTCTGTATTAATACCAAGTACTGTGCATTTGGCTACAATGTGGTTCTTCACATTTCTGCAAACAATCAGCTTTGATTCCAAAAGTTTCTCACATGAACTGGAAGACATTTTTATTCCTGCGTGATTACTCCTCCTCACAGCCAGTCTGAAAATCTCTCCAACTACAGCATCTTGTACACCTCATAGCAGATTAATTGAAATACCTTAGCAGAGGTGGGAATAGAGACTGCAGCTTGGAAGGGACTCAAGGAAAAGTAATATTCCAGATTTTTTTTCTTTTTGCTTGCATTTATCACACACACACACACACACACACACACAGAGAGAGAGAGAGAGAGACAGAGAGAGAGAGAGTTAGAGAGAGAGTTAGAGAGAGAGTTAGAGAGAGAGAGAGAGAGAGAGAGAGAGAGAGAGAGAGAGAGAGAGAGAGAGAGAGAGACTCTGTATATGTATGGCTAACATAAGATATAAACATAATCATGTCATATATTTTTGCTACATGCAACGTGGTGTTTTTATTTCTTAGACAATATACCTGTTCCATTCCCATTTTTAAAAATATTTGAAACAGAACATATAAAAGAAGAACAGAATCCAGTGGACAAACAGGAACTTGTGGTTTGATGCTGACAGAGAGTTCCCGGATATGCTCATATGTCTAAGGCCTGAACTATTTAAGTCAGAATTTAACATATTGACCTTCCAGTGCTAAATGGATAGATATATGTATATATGAGATTCACAGTGCTATGCTATGATTTTAAATAGATTGTAAACAATTAAAATATAACAACCAACAAAAAAGACTTAATTTTTTAGACATTTGTCTAATAAATTTAGACATGATGAAAATCAAGAACTGATTATTTGAGGAAGGGAAAAGGGAAGCTTACATTTAAAACTTAGTCAGCATTATAGGTGTTGAGCCTCATTAGAAGATTATCAGAATGATTTTATTTTTCTCCGTGGAATAAAGCTAAGGCCCATGATTCTAGTACTAAAATAATGGGGAAAAGTATTGAGAACTTGAGTTCCTACAATCAATCCATCAGTAAATTATTCCGCAATACTGTATTTTACTTATTGATATTTATCACAGCTCTCTAACAGTAACAAAGGATTACTTTATGTCAACATACCACAGTTTAAAATAAATCAACCAACAAGTCAATCATACATAGAAAAAACAAACTATGTCATGAAAGACCACAACTAACTGGTAAATACAACGATTTATTAAATTATAAATAATTTTGGAAACGGATAAGACAAAAAAGTCTTAAAAGTAGATTGTATGAATTTCTCTCAGATGACTTTTTTCCCTTGATATCATTCATTTCATTCACAAGAAATCCTAGCTTTAAATTTTTGAAGGTTACACAAGAAACCTGATGTAGCAATTAATGGACACTGCTAGGAGACTGAACCTGGGGCACAACTAAATTTCAACAAACTCACTGTGTTACCTTATGGATTTGACAATGCAAGCTTTGCAAAAACGATGTCCACACGGCGTCTGTACTGCTTCCCGTAGAGCCATTAAACAGATAGGGCACTCATATTTACTTTCCAGTGGTGGGTCAAACTCCACATCATAGCCTTGGGTTTCCTCCATGAAAGAGTTTGAAAGTGTCCCACCAGTACCATTGCTGATGGGGGCAGTGAAGCTTTCCTCCTTGGTCCCAGCACTGCAAGCACTGGCCATGGCTGCACAGCAGTCAGTCTCTTGATCATTGATTTCAAAACTTGTGTTACTATGTAGACTCATACTAATTTAAAAGGCGGCAGGATACCTACAGGCACAAAAAAGAAAAGAATAACTTGTCATACGTATATAGATATTTATCACATTATTCCCTTTTGGAATATTAGGAAAAGTGCAATTTTACACAAAGTGCTAGACAAGAGCAAAAGGTTGTAGAAACAAAGGGGAAGGGAGGATGGAAACTAAAGACAGTTTATAGCGATATTCTATACTCCATTTCTAATGTTTCTAATGTGTTTAATCATAATTTTATACATACCTTTATACAATGATTTATTGCCAGTTTACTTTTGGGAAGCCTTACCAATTGCATCCAATCACAACTACGTATATTTCTACTTAATCTATTCTTCCTTCCTTCTGTTCTTATTTTTTTCTATAATTTAATCCTTATTTACCTCAATATGAGCAAACCTCTTTAACTTGTTTAATACCAATCATTTACTTTGGACAAAATGGTTACTGTAATGCTAAAGATATAATGTCCCAAATTAATGTACAACTCAACAAATGTACATCCTAATAGTTCAATAGTATCCCTTCTTCCATTTGGTTTCACAATCAAAAACACGCACTGTGACTGAAGTTTTATGATATTTTTATCATCCATCCATCCATTTATCATCTATGCCTGCCTGTCTAAAATCTAAATTGCTATTACCATGTTATCAAAAAAACCCCACAAAGAAATCCCTTATATTTATGTGATTGGATTATGAGAGTAAAGATATATCATTCTACTTTGATAGAACAAAGAAATGAGCTAGATCCATAGCTATTCAAGGAATTTATATTACTAGAAACTATTCCATGTTTGTTGCAAGCTACAAGAATGCAATATCCTATCTAATGGAAGTTTCTATTCAGGTATAATATGTTTAATTTGAAGTTTAAGAATAAAATTTTGTCCATCTGAAGGAATCTTCAATTTGGCAGAATTCCCGTTCGTTCAGAATTTTTAACAAAGAAAGTAGCTACACGCTTCACAAAACTATTTCCTAGACATTGGGCATTTTGCCAGTTAAACATTTAAAGCAGAATGGAGCTGTGAACAGCCCAGGTTAAGAATATGCTTAAGCTTTACTTATACTGCCTTAATTCAAGAATTTATGCCTGGCCAAGACTTGGTAGAAAGGATTTCTCTCTTTCAAATTTCAGGGCAACTTTTAAAAAGTCCTCTGTATACCAATAATCCCTCCATTGATGCAGCAACAATAGAGTACAGCAGGAGTCCCCAACCTCTGTCTCTCTTCTAGAAAACTTCTATTAATAAAAATATGATCAATTTTGAAATGGCAGGTGTCAAATATAGGAGAAACATAATGGAATATTGAAAGTACAAGTTGCAGTTCAAGATGGCATTAAATGTGCAATCCGGTCAATTCTTTGCTTTAACTATTAATTTTTTAAAAACAGGATTCAAGAATGGATTCAAGAATGTGTTAAATGCACAATGCTCAGCTGCAGCCAAAGTACCTCATCCTCCAGGAATGGGAGCTATGTTCCTTTCCCTGTTTTCGTTCTATCCTTTTCTTACAAAGTAACCAAAGTCAAAGACCTAATCTCTGTTTGTTGAGCAGTATCAGAAACAGAAGGCATCAGAACAACCAGTAAATTAGCAGGGATAGTATAGATAATGAAGTCATTAATGCTTTTTTTTTTTTTTTTGGCAGCCAACAGCTTCCCTAATGAAATTTCTTGCCTTCCAAATAAACCTGGGTTTTTGTGAAAGATGATGTCAAATACTTCTGATCTTAAGTATGTATAAATATTAAAATGTAATTAAACAAAGCATATTAAATGCCATAGTACACTTTGGTATATGTAAGTTACTTATACCACTTACTAAAAACTTAACCTGTATGCTTTCCTTCTGCCTTTTACCTTTCTGTGCAAATAAAGGATATTACTGGTGTATAATAAAGAGTATACTAATGATTTTTAAACTCTTAGCTTTCATAAGACTTTGCATAGCTGCATAGATTTCTTAAGATGCAAAACATAATTCTGTAAATTACATGACAGCTTGATTTGTTTATTCCCCTTTTGGGAGAATAAGGCGCAATGCTTAGAATGCAGTATTGCAGATTAACTCTGCCTATAGCCAGGAGTTCAATCCTGCCAACTGCCCATAGTTCAATTCTGACTGGCTCAAGGTTGACTCAGCCTTCCAAGGTCAGTAAAATGAGGACCCAGATTGTTGGGAGCTGACTCTGTAAATCACTTAGAGAGGGCTGTAATATCACTGTGAAGCAGTGTACAAGTTTTAAGTGCTAGTGCTATTATTGGTAATAATGAAAAGAAGTTTATGTATTGTGACATAGTGATGAAGAAAACATGTATGCCTTTGTATTTTATCATATATAAAATTAAATTTCACAAACAATACAAAAATGCACACAGGATATTGCATCTTCTTTTTATACCTTATGGATAATAGTGATTTTAAATAGCTTTACCTTTCTTTGATACTTAATTTATTTTGTCAATGATTTTATGCCTCTTGAAAACCTTAAAATTGTTCTCACTGAAGTAGTGTTTAACAATTTAATAGTTATTTTTAATAATTATGCTTTACTTCTTTATGATGTAAAATATTGAAAAAGATGATATATAGCTTTATGTTCTTTAAAATCATGAAAGTTTGAATTGGTTGCTTAATCTGAACAAACACTATAAAACTATTTGCTCATTACTATCTAAATATGTATTTAGTTCTTTTGAATTACTTTCCACAGAATAAATTATTTCCTATTATAAAAGTATGTTTCAGGAGTTATTAATGCACACTATATCCAAAATCAGGCAATGGAAGTAAAACAGTTTAAAAATCCTGATTTTTTTTTTTTTAAAAAGGATGTTGTGAAATTATTTGCATTGTTAGCTACAAAGTAGTGAAGCTATTCTACAGGAACCAGACTAGAAGAGCAACATATCTCATAACCAAAGAATTCTTTAAATACAGAGACTATTTTGAAAATATAAATTTCCTTATCTCTGTATATCAATTAGGAAACAGTAACAGAAAAAGTTACTATGCACATTGCCTGTAGAATTATACAGTCAGCCTATTCTGTCTCCTGTTTTTGCCTTTACCAATTTAAAGGGCTTCATATAATAAAACTAAAAAATATTTTAAAGGTGACCATTAGGAATCAACCTGAAAATACATACATATATATACATATACATATAGACCTTACTTAATGACTGCCCTGTTTAGCAACTGTTTGAAATTTTCAGTGCTGAAAAAGTAACTTTATGATCCTTTCATTTACCACCATTACAGTGACCCCAGTCATGTGATCTCCATTTGTGTACTTCACAATTGGTTTTTCCAACAGGCAGTTTATGGGGACGTTGACAGTAAAATTGCAACTTGTAGTCACATGATGTCTCACTTAAAGCCCATTGGTGATTTGCTTAACGTCCTCAATAGAACTGAGGTTGTAAGGACATCATGGGCTTGTGGTATTTTGCTTAGCAGTGGGAATTCTTGGTTCCAATTGTGGTTGCCAAGGTATATGTAAAATAAGCAATAACCAAAAAAATATCCAGGACACCTAGCATTAAAGCATATTATTTTCATGCACCTTCTCAATACAATAATATTGCTAATTTTGAAGTACATATTGCTTCACAAAAGCAACAGCTTGCTAGCTGAGATTATGAAGAGAGAAGGTTGTCATATCTATAAAAAATAAACAGCAATAAACATTTGGTCTACAACTACACTTTCAGTTATGGAGCTGCATGCAACTATTTTTATTCATGGAAGTTACCAAAATAGGAAAATGTGTTTTTCTTATTAATTCTATGTAATTTTTTTTCTATGAAAATAGAAATGTCACATTCTTGCACCCACTTTATTTTCTCTTTAGGAATGCTAATTTTCTTGTAAAACATAACTTCTGAGCTTCATTTACCTCATTTTTTCCTCCTTTTACCTACCATTTTTGTTTATTAGGACTAAATGTGCCTGTCCTAGAAGTCCTTCTCTGTTTTTCAGTCAAAACTACTTCCCAGAAGAGGTGCTGAACTAGAAATTGGAAAGTGGAAACCAGATGGATCATTTAGGGCCAGACATTCTCTCTCAACCCAGCCCATTCCCACAGGGTGGTAGTTGTAGGAAAAGCAAGAGAATTTATGCATACTGCCTTGAGTTGTATAAAATAAACCCAAATTAATAAATATATGAAAACTGAAATTTTGATTTTTCAGAAGTTTGTATTTTCCTTCCTCTTTTTAAAATGCTGTTTTGAGGTATGCTTTCTGATCATAAATGAAGGCCAAGAAAGCAATTATGTTAAAGGAAATTAATTACTTTTAATAGTGCTTAATATATACTGGTATACTAATTTGTGAGGGGAATACATATCTAAATATCATTATTTGCTGCTTAACTTAACAGTATGGTTAATGTGAGTTACTGGTGAGAATATATACTCAGGGACACTTTATTTCTAATAATCTGTCATTAATGACTGACTTTGGCAAAACTTTAGAACTACATGGCAACCTGGATTTGAAGAGAAAAAACAAAGAGTTAAATTACATTTAATAGCAACTGTTTCAAAAAGCGGTATCTTTTTCTGATTGTTGTGCCATTCAAGGAAAAGTCAAATTTACTTTAACAAGGCACCAACAGGTATAACCTGTCTGCCTTTGAAAACTCCATATTGGGTTTCCCCATTAAATCCATATTGCTGCATAGCCCTTTCTCTGCCTTTGTATACCATAGGATAAATGTACTTCAAATGACATGAGTGAAATGTAATGTAATCTTTCTCCTATCATGCTCACTACATTTGTCATTTCAGACAGCTACTTTTGTCATCTAAGACATTTGCTTGAAGATAGATTTAAGAGATTGCTTACTATTTGTAATTTATCTGAGTTTGGATTTTGTTGGTCTCATTACTATTATACTATATATTAAACTACAGACATGCTAATAGATTCTCAAACCTATTAAAAAGCCATACTATTTCAACTCTTATCTTCAATTCCAAAATAGTGAAAAAATAGTGTATGGAATTAGTTTATAGGATCCTCAGTGTACACAATACTGGAAAGTCATTTAATCCAATTTCAGTTTCCGTTTAGAATGGTTGCCAATTAAGGAAAGCCCATTTGTATTAAAAAGGAAAACAGAACGGGTTGCATAAGTTACAATTTCTATTTCTGATAAACAAACACAGAGCAATTTTAAGAATTCACCTCTTGATCCATTAGGTTTATGATATTAATGTGATTATGATATCAATATGATTTTGGCATGTGTTTTGCTTTAATTTCAACACTGAAAAATGTATACCAACAAATTCCTTTGTTAATACAAACTGTGGAAAAAGGAACAAAGTATCTCATTGTCACACTTATTTACACATGAACAATGCATGGAACATATCTGTCATCATTGAGGATCTGATCCTAGAAGTTCAGAAAAGCTGCTTTTGTAATCTACTTTAAGTACTTGAGGAAATATTTCAGACATGTCAAACACGAGGCTCGGGGGCCAGATGCGGCTCGCGAAGTGATTTCATGTGGCCCGCGAAGCCATCCTGGAAACAGTGAGGGAACGGCCCCCACTGCCTTGGCCCTGGCCCAGGCCGGCCGGGAGCCAATGTACAATTTTGTGGTGCCATCTATGCTGAAACGCATTCAGTCTTAGTTCTACAAGGCCGTCTAGAAACACTGAGGAACTAGCTCCGCCCCCTGGGTGCATACTGGGGAGGTGTCACCCTTTGTGAGGAATGAAGAAATGGACCATGCCTTGGTGCCTGCCCCAGTTCCACCCTCTTCTGTCAGAGAACCTCAGATCTGATCCACTCCTGCCCAGGTACCCTTGATGTGAACGATGTAGAGCTGGCCATGCCCACCCAGTAGGCCACACCCACTCCATCCACGCCCATCCAGTAGACCGCACCCACCCTGGCCATACCTACCCGGCCCCCCGAGGGTAACCACAATGCTGATGAAGCCCTCAATGAAGTTGAGTTTGACACCACTGAAATATTTGAAAAGAGTATAAAGGTTGTAAACAGAGTGAGGGGGAAAAAAACATTTTCTTCCAAGCCACTAAATACCAGTAATAAGAGAATATTCAATTTTAAGGCCAGCTCAGAAGTTAGGTTTCATTATGCTAAACAACGTAACTACATTAAGAAAAAAAAAAGTTTAAAATGCTAATTACATAGTGGGAAAGTCCCTGTTCAAATCTTACCTAAGGAGCAGGTAACCATTGATATTCTTTATTTCAATATGATGATTCAATATGTTGATTAGAAAACAACGAACTTTTATCTTAATATGTGGTCTGTCAAATAGAGCTAAATACCCTGCTTCGTTCCATCCTATCTGTGGTGCAGGCCATCTTCCATTTATTTCATTGTAATTTATTGGTTTGTTGTGAGCTGTCCAGAGCTGCTTGGAATTGGACAGCATAAAGTTTAATAAATTATTATTAAAACATGGGGTTAATAAATGTGAAGGCTGTAATATTCAGTGTCAACAGATACAGTAAATATCTGAAACAGAGAGGTGCTGTTTTTATATGAAGCCTGAAATACTTTTTCAAAGTTCTATTCAAAACATACAGGTTTCTACCCAGTAGTGGGATTCAGCCGGTTCGCATCACTTCGGCAGAACCGATAGCTAATTTTTTGTTGCCCAGACCCAGAATGGACTTCCAGAAGCGGCATCCACTCAGAGAACCGGTTGTTCACATATTTGAATCCCATCACTGTTTCTATCATATATATTCTTCAGCCTTTGCAAGTACAGACAAACCAAACTTTGATTATATGGCACAAGAGGCAGGCTTATCCATTCTCTTCAAAATATGGCTGTTCAGGATTAATTTACATTTATCAGCAACTGTTTCAAAAAGCTTTATCTTTTGCTTGATGGAGACACCTTTCTGACCTCAATTTCAAGGGGGATTTTACTACAGTGTGCCACGGATCAAAGCAGAGCCCTCCAAAGCAGATTCCAGTTGGAGGGAATAAAAGCACCAACTTCTAACTCTCACCACACTGTAAAAGTAGTCCTCAACTTACAAAAGTTCATTTAATGACTGTTCAGTTTCAAAGGCACTGAAAAAGTGACTTGTGATCATTTTTCACACAACCATTTCAACATCCCCATGATCAAAATTCAGCCGCTTGGCAACTGGTTTATTATTTATGACGGTTGCCCTGTCCCAGGGTCATGTGTGATTCACTTTTGTGACCTTCTGACAAGCAATGGGGAAGCCAGATTCAATTAACGACCGTATCACTAACTTAACCACTGCTTTGATGCACTTAACAACTACAGTGATTCACTTAACAACTGTGGCAAGAAAAGTCGTAACGGGGCAAAATTCACTTAACAACTGTCTCGCTTCACAACTCTGAGCTCAATTGCAGTCGTAAGTCGATTACCAATATAGAAGGTACGGCGAGGAAAGCTACGACCCTCTTAGGTCGAGTCAGCGGGCGACGCTAGAAGGCTCTGGGCAAGTCTGTTACAGACGGACCGGTGGAGATTAAGCCCGGTGTAGCCCGACACTAGGGCCCGGGTGGGTAGCGGCAGAGACGACCAAGCTTTCCCACTGAACCCACTCTGGGTCCCCATGAGTTACTCCGGACAGTCCTTTAGCTGTGGCGGGTACTAGGAAAGGGGCCCAGCAGCGACGCCTGGGCGCCAGAAAAGAGAGGAAAGACGTCGGCAGAGAGACAAGGAGCCCACGAGTTTTGCACTTTTTACAAGTTTTTGTTTAGTTTTTACAAGCGCGCCACAGCGGGCACCAAGCGAGCGCGTCTCCCCGGGACCGAAGTAAAGAAAGTGGGGGGGGGGGAGAAAAAGGGCGCCGCCGTCCTTACCTCAGCCCGGCGGGTCTCGCCTCTCCGAGACTTCTCCTCGGCCGCTTGCGTGAGCTCCCCGACCCGAAGCAGACTGACGACGGGAAGAGGGAGGCGGCGAAGGAAGCACGAACGGAAGGACGCTTCCGCCTCCGCCAGGCCTGAGAGGGCGAGCCAGCGGACGAAACCGCGCCACAGCGCCCCTCGGCAGACAGTCTTCCCACGTCCGGGCGGGCGAGCCTTTTTGCAACGCCTGGGCGGTCGAAACCCGCCCGCCTGCTGAGCTTTGCTCACGCAGGCGGGGAAAGTTGTCCTTTTGGCTTGCTCGCTTGCGCATTTCGTTTGAAAGCCTGTCTGGCTTCCCCTCCTGGCCAAGACGCCTGTGCTCTGCAGAGCGGGAGCCTCCCATTCTGCTGAAGAGGAGTAGCTGCATCCACCCACAAGGGCTGCGTCCTACGCTCCCTTGGGTTGATAACAGTATCGCGTGTCCCGTTTCTAGAGGTGTAGCTCGATATTTTTTAAAAATCCAAAATGTAAACTTGGGCTTAAATAGTCTTCCATGTAGGAAAGGGGGGGGGTGTTAGACAGCTGTGAGTGCCCGCTCCTTCCTTTCCACCCTTATACTTTACAGTACGGTAGGACTTTCTTGATGTTCGGTTTAAGGCCCGTTTAAGGCAACGGATTGGAATTTTTAAAATGAAAAGTGCTACTATGAAGAGAAATACTTATGCCTTTTGTACTATCTCATACTATGCATGCATGTTTTAGTATTTTTCTCCAGATAAGTTTTTATTTGTCCATTTTCAAATAGTGTAAAATAAAATAAATATGAACGCATTTTAGTACCGTTTTACTTTAAAATTAAGTGACTTATTACATTATTTCTTTTTGGACACTTGCACTTTTAATTACTTTTTTTGCTTTTGTTGCAATCAACTACTCTTCCAAGATTCCACCTGTCCACAAGTACTGTTATTAGGGTTGTTGCCTCCCCCCATCTTATATCCAGAGATTTGATGTCACTTTGGAAAGTTCTGAATTTGTCTTCATTTTGTTTTGTTATTCTATTGGTTTCAGCCCATTTCAATAGTATACGAAGATTTTCTTCCTATTTTCTGTCTTTTAAGACCCTGCCTTCCTCATCTAATTTTCTGTAATCTGAAAATTTGATGAGATTTTCTGCTACATCTTCACTTATCATTAATAAGAATATTAATGAAACAGAACTTTATGGTCTGCTACCCTCTTCAGTTTGATGAGGAATTTGTTGATGAACATTTTTAGCACACTTCTTCAGCCACCTCTAGCAATTGTTTAGATATCTAACCCAGAATTTAAAAAACTTCCTAAATATAACTATGTTAAAACCTTCATTAAATATTGTACTGGAATCAAAATACATTATGGGGACAACATTTCTATAGTTTGCAATGGAGTTACTTGATCTAAAATAATAAAATAAGGATAATTTGGCAATGCTTTTTTTTAAAATCAAAATCATGTGGATTTCCAGTGATTACCATATTGTTTTCAGACTGTAGATTAGTTTCTTCATGATCTGCCCTAGAATCCTCCTAGGAACTGATTGTCAGATTGGTTAGTCTGTGGTTTCCTGAATCTTCCTTTCCCCCATTTTTTTTTTAAAATAAAGATACTTGCCCTCCTTCTGTCTCTTTGGCACTTCACCAGTTCAGGATAATTTCTACATAGTACAAAAGGAAGAGTATCTTTCTTTATCAGCTGTACCTACAGATATTGACTTCTGCCATTTGCTGAGGCTTTTCAGTAAGATAGAGATGTTGTTTAATAGATTACTAGCCTCAGCTATCCTTTTAAAACCAGTAGCATATCCAGCAAAAGTTAGATCAGTACTGGTTATTTTGGACCAGCAACTAAAGCCTGGTTTTACTCAAGTATGTTCATGCTGTTCTACACAACAATCACAGGCAACACAATTGTCTCATCAATTAATAGGTCTGTGCTGCAGTCCTCACTCATAAATCACATTGTATAGCTGAATGTGGTCCTGAGATTTAACCCATTCAGAGTAAACATTCTCTGATAATGTTTCTGTCTTATACTGTTTATCACAGTTGTTAGAAAAGGCTATAAGCTAAGAGAGATTTCTTTATCGGCAGCTGATTTATGGAATCTTTTGTTTTGAACATTTCTATATATTTAGCATCCTTTGCCAATATTAGCTCATTTTTAGTTGCAGACACCTTCAGTCTGGCTACTGAACTTACTTATTTGTTAAATAGTAATGAGTCCTATATTTTCTAGCCAGCAGATTAGCTAAAAATGATGATTACAATCCAGCACTCAGGAAGATCTGGACAAAAATAGTTAACTTGAGAATAAGGATATCCTCTTCTAGATTCTTAAATAAGTGCATGATAACATTTTAAAATAATAGCATTTTTCAAAATAAGCCAGAAGCATTTCAGCACAAAAGTGCTTATCAATGGCCTAATGCACCCTCATACAGCTAAATACAATAAATCAATATTGGTTTTTAATGTTTTATATATATGACATAAAAAAAAACAAACAAATACACTAAGCAAGGCAGTTGTCAAGTGAGTTTTGCCCAATTGTATGAACTTTTTCGCCACAGTTAAGTGAATCACTGCAGTTGTTAAATGAATAGTGATTGTTAAGCAAATCTGACTCCCCCCCCCCCCGTTGACTTTGATTAAAGAAGTTGGCTGGGAAGTTTACAAAACCTTCAAACACATGATCCCGGAACACTGGAATTGTCAAAAATACATGCCAGTTGCCAAGTGCCCATATTTGGATCATGTGATTATGATGATGCTGCAATGAAAAGGGACTATAAGACTCTTTTTTCAGTGCTATTGTATCTTCAAATGGTCACTAAAATGATTGTAAGTCGGGGACTACCTGTAATAAAGGGGAAAACACTAACATGGGCACAGCTAAACACAATACAAGCCTTTTTCACTCGGGGTAGGAAGGAGATGAAGGCCAAGTTAACTCAGCAGGGAAAATAGATGTTGACAAAGCATGCTTGTATCATCATCAGTGCAAGTGGGGAAAGACTATTAAGCAGCCAAATCACACCAGCTTTTAAAGATCAAATCTATACATTTCAAAAGATTTATCTGACCATTATCCCCTTTAATTTTTGCCACCCATTCCAAATCGCTTTTGTCGAGTATTCATTGCTATTCTTTGTGCTGATAAAATGTGTGATCTCTCCCAATCTTTTTAAACTTTCATTTGTTGGTTCTAATTGCTAGTTGTCTTTCACCATGTTGCCCCTCCTGTTTTTCCACCCACGATGGATTTGCTTTTGTTATTGTTGCTGCCACCATCTACTGAAATGACATTCAAGATTAAGACAATCATCTGGACACATACACACATACACACCCTGCAGAAAGCCACAGCCAGTACTGATTTGTGACTACTGTCTTTTTTCAATATATGATTGTTTTAAAAATGCACTAGACAATCCATGCCCTGTTGGATCATCATTTCAGAAATATTTTACTGCCTAAACAGAAACAGAATGACTACTGTATGGGTGGACCAAAAAAAAATATATGGAAGTGGAACTGATTTCCAACTTCCTGCTGTTCTCCCATTGAGTTTCCTTGTGGATAGTTCCCTTGTGGAAGGGAAAATCAAAAAATTTCCTTCTTCTTTCCTTCCTTCCTTCCTTCCTTCCTTCCTTCCTTCCTTCCTTCCTTCCTTCCTTCCTTCCTTCCTTCCTTCCTTCCTTCCCCTTCCCCCTCCCTGGGATAAGAGAAGAAGAGGAGAAATGTAATCATGTTACAGAATTCTCAATAAAGGAGCATTGCAGTCATCTTGGGAAGTCTACTTCCTGATCTGGATTGAAGAACTGAAATAAATAAGTAACGGGGTGGGGTGGGTGGGGTGGGGCCGCAAAGAAGAAAGTAAGTGATGGAATTTCTGTTGTAATGCTAGGATATAAACCACGTGACATACAAATTTGTATCAACTGTTGCCACATAAGCATGAAAGACTGGCATTTGCATGGTGCCACATAGCAACACATTTTTTTTATCATGTCTCTGCACAGAAATGTTGTAATAACTAATAAGCACTTTGAGTATTCATAAGAGATTAAAAATGAGTAATTATTAAACATTCCTCTTCTTCTGTCACCCATTCAGTTTCTATCCAATTAGCTTTTAACTTTTTCTGTTTTTCTAGATATGGAAGGATGTAGACAACACTGTCTAATCAGGGTTTACTCCAATTCTTGGATGGAGGACTACAGGGAGATTCCTGTAGGTTGTCAGTTAGAATGGAAAGTAAAAAAAAATCCCAAAGAAAGCAAAGGAAAATTAATTCCATAATGCTGCCAAGAAAACTACATGAATATTGGAAGACAACTTCAAATCTAGGCACTTTACTTTTTCCTAGCCAAGATTCATGGTAATGCCTAGCTTATCTAATATGATGACAAACAACTAAGAAATTTACATCTGATTCATACTTGGATGGGAGATCACCAGGAAATACCAGATCAATAAGCTGGACCGGGAAGTTGAAACATATTCTGGAAGGAGTCAATGGAAAACCACTCCTAAATTTTTACGGAGAAAACTAGTCATGTATAATGTCACCCATTAAATTGAGATTGCTTTCATATCTCATTGCACTGATCCTAAAATGCAAAAGTCTCTGAAGTATTTTTTTTCCCTGTAAAAAAAAGTGCCATATGATGGCACTATTATTATAGTGAATTGCAAATTTCCTACAATAAGATATATTCATTTTCATCAGATTTGTATCAATCATTTAGTTTTTGTTGTTCAGCATAACAGTATATGGCAAATATATAAGAATATCTATATATTACTAAAGCTGTTGTTGTCATGAGCTTCAACTGGTTGAAATGGTGCACCCTAGGGCAACAATTAGTGAATTAGGGTACCTCATATAGGCTAATTTACAGAATGTGTCCAAAATCGAGGACCCATGATTCCTGAGGGAAGAACATTTCATTTTCAACTTTTCATGACAGTTTCCCATCCAGGCTTGCAATACCTTGATTTCTCCCTTATCCAGCAGCAGCCAATTTCCTGGCTGCTGGAAAGAGAAAGAAAGGAAGGGAAAAACCTCTGTGAACCCTTCCCAACCCATGCCTCCTTCATGCTCTTCCCCCAATCTGTTTTGCCCTTTGCCTGATTCATGCTTCCTCCCTCGTATGCCTTCCCTGACCCATACAGGAT